AAATCTGAGTTAAATCTTTTCACATCAGGCTACTATGCATGACAGTTTGCTGAGAAACAATCTCAGCCACCGAATTATCCAGAAATTTAAAAAAAATCTGCAGAATTCTTCAATTCTTTGCAAAGGGGCCCATAAGAACCTAGTTACAGTCCAGGTGTCTTGAAATCTGTTAATGCCTTTATGCCAGAATGAGATATATTAACAGCATAATATGACTGCTTGAGTTAACTGGAAACTGGCAAAAACAGATAATGATTATATAATTAGTGTGCATGTAAACACTCATTGAAATGCTAAGAAGAAGAGGTCCGGATGATGGCATGCTGAAAGAACACTATTGACTGTTTCTCACAACAGTTAAAATTAGCCTGCATTATTTTGACCAAAAATAATTTACTAATATAAAATTACATGAACTTGATTCATCCAAACAACCACAAAAACAGTCTGGAACTCTCCTTTTTTCTTTTATATTCTGAGTTGTTCTGCTATTGCTAGATCTTCTCCAGCTTGTTTTGCTGGCACAGCATGATTTCCTAGGAGAAACAGGAACTGATTCCAAAATCTCCAACTGATCCTCCTGTCCGGTTTGATGCTGGTGCCAGATTGACCTTGATCAGCTGTTCCTGCTTGCCTGCCATCTGGACCAATTCGACCACCATGGAGCAACATGCTTGCCCCTTTCACCCTCCAGACAAGATTGAAGCCTTGGCTAGATGTCATGGAGACTCTACTGGAGTGGTCACCAACTCTTCTCATGGAGATCTCTCCAAATTTCCTGCCCAACACCTTGATCAGAACTTCTGAAGGCAGAAAATTAAACGATCATGTGAAGTGGATTAGGGTTGGAGCCAGAAGTCTGCAGGAAGGTAGATCTCCAAGAGCAGGGTTGGTGACCACTGCTCTAGTGAACAGTCCATCATCACTGCCTCATAGATGGGGGAATGGACTAAGGACTATTTGGGCTGGTGTCAGCTGTCCCCTGTATAGACTTTAACTAAAGCTAGTCATAGACATTTTACACCTGTCTCACATTATACTGAGCCCCTGACTTGTTCATAGTAACATGTCCTCACACATCTTTTTAGGTAACATATCTGATAGGGATTGGTAATCTGAATTAGGATGTGCATTCCCACTAATTTTGATATCCATAGGAGTTCATGTACAGATATCTGGTTAACAATAGAGAAGGAAAATAAAAGACAATGCCAAAAAAGAACAGATGTTGACTGAAATAAATGTAGAGCTGTTGGCTTACCTTTTAAGATGACATCACTGATGTACAAAAAATTAGCATCACAGAGAGGAATACATTTCAAAACATGTTTTATTATTCATAAACAGCCAAGGGGAAACTACAACTAACCAGCAACACTCAATGCGGTGAGTACTTGTCTTCTACAGGCATTTTTTTCTATGCAGTGGACGATGTGCCAACATTTTAGTTTGTCAAAGAAATACACTTCAACTGCTCCTGGATCTAACATCAGCCTAACATATTAGAGAGATTCATTTTCTAATCTTAACAGAGTAAAGATCCCAATCTGTACCGAGTACAGATCCCTGATCTGAACAGAGTAAAGATCCCAATCTGTACCGAGTACAGATCCCTGATCTGAACAGAGTAAAGATCCCCAATCTGTACCGAGTACAGATCCCTAATCTGAACAGAGTAAAGATCCCAATCTGTACCGAGTACAGATCCCTGATCTGAACAGAGTAAAGATCCCCAATCTGTACAGAGTACAGATCCCTGATCTGAACAGAGTAAAGATCCCCAATCTGTACAGAGTACAGATCCCTGATCTGAACAGAGTAAAGATCCCCAATCTGTACAGAGTACAGATCCCTAATCTGAACAGAGTAAATATTCCTAATCTGAACCAAGTACAGATCCCTAATCTGAACCAAGTAAAGATTCCTAATCTGAACCGAGTACTCAATCCCTAGTCTTCTCTTGAGGTTCACATTCTTTCTCTGCCCCGCCTCTCATTACTCATTATTGTACATTCATTATTCATTTTCTTTTTTTACTAGTCCACAACACTTCTTCCAACACTGTTCTGTTACTGTTTTGCACTCCTGTGTTTTCCAGAGGACGATTTTGAGCCAGTCGTAAAAAGCACTATACAAATAATTTGAACTGAATTGTACTGATTGGTCAAGATGTTCAATGTAAATGTTCAACATGAAGGTAGAAATGCTCTGAATGGTCAGAGGGCTCATTTGTGTACTAGCCTTATGCGATATATAGAGATAACGTTTAAACATTATACTGTGCTGTCCTACTACAAGCTACTGGAAGTGTATACTGTAATGCAGAAACAAAAGACTGAACACTTCATCTTAAATTGGCTGAGCGTTGCCATTTAACAGTTCCCATACATTCATATGCATATTGAAAGGTTTGCATGCATGAACGTGTTTCTCTCGTTTTTTTTTTTTTAGACGTCCATCGTCTCAGCTGGTGACGGGAACAAAAGAATCAAAATGGCTGAGTCAGGCAATTGTGACATTTTGCATGATTTGACTGTGTGGTAGAGGCTGAGCTCTTGAGTCGCATGAGCTAAAACTGAACAAATGAGGCGCAGAGATGGATTCGGGACAGGAGCATGAGGGGGGAGGCCAGATCGATGAAGGAGGGAGATTAAAGGCATCAGGGCTGGGCTGAGGTGGACGGGGACAGGGAAGGGGAGTGTGTACTGCGGGATAAAAGCCAAGCAGAAGAGAGAAAACAGGACCACTAGAAAGAGCTCTCTGCAGGAACGGCCAGGCTGAGGAAGACCAGAGTAATATCAGCTCATTGTGCTCAGATTAACCTGCGCGAAAGCGTGTAATGCGCTCAGACGACCGGTCATTTTCGACTAAACGGATCCGTTCCACCGGACACATGAACTAGGGGTGGGCAATATTGCCGATTTCCGGTCTGATACAATACCATGTAATGCCAAGCCTAGTACTCCAATACTTATAAAGATACTTTGGAATGTTAAAGGGTTTTTTTTATTTCTACAATGAAAATCAATGTCTTATTACTATATAGACACAGTTATATCAAAACATTGTAACAAATTGTTATTTTTTAAATAAAAAGTTGCCCAGTACACTGCGTGAATATTTGATCAATAGATAATTGAAATGATCCAAAATTATTTTATTATTTATACAATAAATATAGTAATTAATACATTAATTATTTTCTACTATTAAAGTTGAGGTTATTTTTTTCCTTTTTCTAAAAAGTTGTGAGTTAACAATATATACAGTCATATCCAGAAGTTTGGGCGCTCCTGGCAAAATTACACATTTAAAGTTCAATTTAAATCAAATTTAATTACAAATTAAAGTACAATTGTGAAAAAAATTGAAAATAGTGAAAAAAGTCAAAATTAGCTCTGCACATTTTAATGCACAATTACTGTTTATTTGCTGAATTTACAATATTGGAAAAAATATATAAATATGAAATGCAAAAGTTCTGTGCGAAAGTAATGGCAACTTGACGTTTCTCAGTAGGAAGTGTCAGTATCGGACTTTGGTATTGATCTGCCCATCCCTAGTCTGGACGCTGACTTCAAAAACCCTCTCCAAGCAATAACCCAGTTTTGCCTCAGCTCATTCAAGGACGTCTCCATTCTCGTCCATGGATGTACAGACACTGTATAGTGGATCCCACTAACTGGCAGCTGGATCAGAGGGTGAACAGGGAGCAAAGCCCTTTTATGATCTTACAGGATCATTAGCATAGCTCACTTGTACCTTTCTCTTCTTCACAACTACCTCTTCCTCTCAATCTCTCAATGTCTCTCATCTATCTATTTGAAACCCCTGGGAGAAACTGCCCAAGTGTCAGCGCTCTGTAATATGTCAGGAGGAAATGTTGAAAGGGTTGATGTTTCTGTCTTCTCCTGTTACCTGACCAGTGTCTGATGAGTCCACTGCAAAACGAGCCAAACAAAGAAAAGATACAACTACAAACAACTTGTTACAAGGAGTCTATGGAAAACGTATATTGAAAACAGTGTTTGAATGCACTTGTATGCATACAGCCTTAAAAATAAGATGCAGAATGGGTTCTTCAGAGCAGTGCAAAAGAAGAACCAATGTTGGTTCCCTAAAGAACCTTTAAATTTATGATTTTTTTGTAGCTCACAAAAGTTCACAGAACCTTCACACAACATATTGGCTCTACCAATTAAAGGTCAAGCCAATAACCCTTCAGGTTCAGGCACCTATGTTTTCATGAGTGTACTCCATGATGAGCAGCACTAGCCTGGGATGCACCTGAGCTTCCCCATCCTCAGGTTCATTACCAGGTCGATGCAGTCCGCTCTAAGCCATGGCCTGAGGCTCTCACCCTTTCATACAGCCCCACAGAGGCTGCAAAGCTCAAAGCGGATAGAAGATTCAGCAGAACGCTTATGCATCTTTATCCACCAGCCCAAGGTGCCACGGTGGGTGTCTAAACCTTTTAAATGTCTGAATATCACGAGGAACCCACTGCATGTTGATGGCTCAATCTGTTTATCACCTGGTCCCATAACAGATCTACTGTGAAAGCAATGCCAACCAGTGCCAGTGCTGTGAAATGCCAGTCTGTGCAGCGTGCTGTCACACAGGAGCACTTCTCACCCCAATTAACAGGTACAATCTAGGTAACTTCCGCAGAGCACACCAATGCGCAATGTGTCGTACGCAATCCATGCACAGTGGCTGAAAACAAACAATAAAAGTTAAGACAGCAGCCCAAGTGGGTTTCCACACGAGCGCACCTCTTTGTTCCGCGGCCAACCTGACCAGTCCAGCGTGATGTTTCTTGAAGGAACAAAGAATTCCAGCATGCACGCACATTTATCTGAACCCAGACAGCGTTACTGGATCGGCTGTAGGAACATGTGCACACTGACAGCGTCTTAATGAAGACCCCCATAACAATAGCAGAGCACCAGGCTGACAGAACCAGCTGCATGTAACCTCATCACTGATTGCGCACTTACCTTTAAAAATCTCGCGCTGAAAATCCTGCCTCCCTTTAAACCCTCTTCTTCCCTGCTGCCCGCGCGCGCGCTCCCTCGCGCTCTCTCAGGGATGACGAGGGAAAATCCAATCGCGCGATGCTGCGAGGCGTTGTTTATTTCTTTATTTATTTCGATAGTTTCCTCCACCCGTTCTCCGACCAAACCCCGCCTCTCTGCACTGTGACTGGATTGTAATGTCTTGGCTACCGCGCTTGGATTGGCTAGTGATGCGGTTTTTTTGCGCCCCTATTCCGACAACTTCCGAGGTGGGATTGGCTAGTAGTTCGTAGTTTGTACTCACCAGACCTCCGATTGGCTGGTAGTTTCCAGCTGCTTGCAGTCGAATATGCCAGTAGTTTAAACTAAACAAAATTCGATGTGTATGAACTACTAGCCAATCCTAGCACAGGAAGGCGGGGCGTGTCGGAATACGGGTGTGGGAAAAAATCTTACAACGCTGCTGGGAGCAGAGCATCCTTTCTCTCTAGCCCACCTTCGCTCCTCCAAAGTGCTCCAGCTGGATGTTTACCGTAACGTGTAAATAGCGCCTCCCAGTGGTCAAAAGACGAACTAGCAGCAAACTGGAGCGGCACGTTTACGCCGACCGGCACCTTTATTAAAACCACCTCCTTATTTCTACTCATGCTGTTCATCTTATCACTTCAGTTTACCATATAGGAGCACATCAGTTTCTCTGCATGCTTTGTTAGCCTTTACTGTACAGGACCACCACTGACCAGGTATTATTTGGGCGGAGGATCATTCTCAGCACTTCAGATGTGTTGGCGTGTGTTGGGCTGGTCTGAGTGGATCAGACACAGCAGTGTTGCTGGAGTTTTTAAACACCTCAGTGTCACTGCTGGACTGAGAATCAAAAATATCCAGCCAACAGCATCATGTGACCACTGATGAAGGACTAGACGATGACCAACACAAACTGTGCAGCAGCAGATGAACTACTTTCTCTGACTTTACATCCACAAGGTGGATCAACAAGGTAGGAGTGTCTAATAGAGTGGACGGTGAGTGGACACAGTGTTTAAAAACTCCAGCAGCACTGCTGTGTTTGATCCACTCGTACCAGTGCAACACACGCTAACACACCACCACCAGTGTCACTGCAGTGCTGAGAATGATCCACAACCCAAATAATACCTGCTCTGTGGTGGTCCTGTAAAGGGGGCTAACACAGTATGCAGAGAAGCAGATGGACTGCAGTCTGTAATTGTAGAACTATAATGTGCATCTATGTGGTAAGAGGAGCTGATGAACTGGACAATAAGTGTGACAAGAAGGTGAACATAATAAAGTGGCCAGTTGGTGTATTCTGAACAGTGTTATACTACTGGAATATGACGAAAATGTGTTATGGGTAAGGGTGGGTTATAAACTGAATGGTATGATGTCCAATCAGCTACTTGTTACTATTTAAGTTTATGCAGTTATCTTACTCCTGTTGTTGTTTTTGTTTATAGGCTCTCTATAATTGGTCTAAACTGGTCTAAATCAAAGTGATGGTTTATCACTGTAACGTTAACATGTTGTCATATTGCCCCCCGGTTATAGACTAATAAAGATAACTAACTTTCATATAATAAAGAGGGATAAAAGTATCACAAAAAAAGCATTTTATTTACAGCAGCAAGTGAAACAGGAAAAACACAGTGTTCTAAAACTACACCAAAGGACATATGGCTCACAACCATTCCAGGCTTTTTTTGCACTAAATATACAAATCACAGTAGAAATGGTCCAACGAAAAGGACAAAGAACACCGTGAGATACTGTAAACAGCATTTCATTACATTACAGGAGCTGACAAACACATACATTTTTAATGGGAGGTTTGATTATTGCTAATCTTGTTCTGAAAAGGGAAACAATCATTCAAAGTCCAAAATTCAGTCAACATAACAAAGTTCAGGGAAAAAAAGAAACCAGGAATTCTCAGCTACCTGGAAAATGTAAATCTAAAGTAAGATTTGTCCAAAAAAGTACATTCCTTACATTCTCTTACTGGATGGTACTGACTTTTGTTTACCAAGCTAATTGAGAATCTTTGTTAAAAAAGTCCTCTGGTCTGCAAATATCTTAAGGTCTGTGAGTGTGGATGAAATGCTGTGTAATTTCTTTCAAATGTTTAAACATGTTCTATTTTTTTTTCAGGATCGGTCCAGCAACAAAACTGCAAAGAGATTTTTGCTTTTCTTTTTTTACCTATAAACTATAAACCAAACCATGACACAAATTTCTGCATACACATTTCAGGTTCTGACATTATAAAAAGCTTCGTTCACAATTTACAAATAATTTACTGCCAAGAATATAAACAGAATTTTGACTGCACACACTGCATGTTCTGTCTATGCATAGCTGCTTGATTGAAAGCTCATTGCAAAAATGTGATGCGTTTCTTCGTAAACTAGTGTGCAGGTGGGCAACACCATAGTTACAGCGTTGGTTCACATTAATATCCAGTTTGTAGGCCAAGTCCTGACTGTTAAACAGACTGGGGGAAATACATCAGAGTCATCATTTTCTTTTAGAAACCATTTGATTTTACCAGATATAAAAATCATACTCTTTGTACATGAAGTTAGATACAGATGGCTGACAAATCAAAGGAAAAAGCTGAATAATTGAATGGAGAAACAAGTGCAGATGTTTCCAGACACGTGTACTGCATCAATGTCCTATCATGCTCTATGGCAAGGCAAGTTTATTTATATAGCACATTTCTGTGGCATGTACAAAAATGCTGAACAGACCTAAGTGACCTCAATTTTGGAAAGCAGCAGAAGGGGAGGAGGGGACAGCAAGGGCCAGATTATTCAAACGGAACACACTCGCCCTTGGCGAGTTAGCTTCAGTGAGCTAACTGGCAAGCCATGCAAACTTTACAATACAAAATGTTTTTGTTTTTTTTTAAAGTTTGAGCATAACCTACATAATGTTTGTGTAAGTGCTTTGTCTGTCTATAAACGTGGTCTAGAGCTGTGGTGTTCTGCCTTTCTTTTTGTGGTTTTTAGCTGTTAGCATGCTAGCAGAGTGAAGTGATAAAGCTGTACCAACTGTCATGTATAACAGATGGAGTAGTTTGTAACTTAAGCGCAGTAATTCAAATGTTATGGTTTTGAATTATTAAGCATTTTAAAGTAGTTTATTGCTATGGCTTATAAAGAGCTTTGCCCACTAATAAAGTAATGGAACAGCCCTCAAAATGGTGCTGGGAAAATGACGAGGCCAAATGACGGGGGACAACTAAACACTAAAGGCCTGAATGTTTTGACGCCTACAATGTGGGTGTCTAGAGAGTTTGTTATTGTGTGGGAGTTATTTTGCTGGCATGATTTGGTCTATTTGTCACCTTAGATAGAAAGATCACTGCAAATCAGTAGAACAATATAAATACTGTTTGCAAGAAAGATGTTTTATCCCTCCAGTACAGTTCCAGACTTGTAGAATATATGCCAAGCTGTTCTGGGAGCTTGTGGCAGCTCAACACCTTAGTAAGACATTTAATGTTGGTTTTACCTTTAATTTGTCACCCATCAGTCCTAGTGAGTATTGGAGAGCTAGTGTTTCCATCCAAGAAAAATTCCACTGAACGTAATGCAATAATAACCTACTAACCACAATAGCCTATTACCTATACATGACCTAATGTTCATAAAACCCTCAGTTATGGAGAAAAGAGCACATTCAGTTTGTCATTTGTGTTCTGAAGTATTTTCTGAGTACATTGTGTGTCAAAAGAATCTGTATCAAGTCAGTTTAAAGCAGCAGAAAAGCTTCCGTAAGCAGAGTGTGGTCTCAAACAGACTAGAGTAAAAACTAAATCAGGAAGCATTAATCCAGCCATGGCGTGAACTTCTTTAATAAACACTCTAAATTGTTAAACAGAGAGCACTGCTAGAAGTTGAACAGTCCTGATTCTGTTACAACTATGTTGACTGTAATATTGTCTGTCCTGTTAAGACATTGGTGCAAGTGCAGTCTGATGATGATAGCAGCCATCGAGCAACACAAATGATCTCTGTTTACAACCAGACATGCACACAGTAATAAACCGCAGTCGAATGAGCCTATCATCAAAATATACCTAAGCTGTCCTCAGACAAGACGTCTTCTGTTTGTTTTGGTTTCTCAGAGTTATTCTAAGCTGGGTACAAAATCCTGAGTTGTCAGAATTTTAAAGGCAAATCACTAGCTGACAGTTCAAAGAAGAGATGGCACCGATACAATATCCAGAATCAATGTCGGGCTGATACCAGCAAAAAAAATGGCAGATCGAATATCAGAGGAAAAAAGGAGGAATACAATTCTGTAGCAAATCTCATCTGAAATATTACAAAATTGCTTGGAGCGCAGCATAAGCTAAAGCGAAATAAGGTGTGCCAAGAGATAACAGTAGCCACATGTAGCTTAATGGTAACATAAGAAGGAATAGCTAGATATTCAGCAAAGCACATCAGTGGGAATTTATTTATGTATTTACTAATTTATTTGTCATTGGGTGGGTATCCTGCCTTCCGCCCAATGACAGCTGGGATAGGCTCCAGCACCCCACCGCGACCCAGAAGGATAAGCGGTTTAGATGATGTATGTATGTATGTATGTATGTAATTTATTTGTCAGGGACAGTGCCCATTAATAAATAGGATCAACAGAACTGTAAATGAGCCAGAGTTAGACCGATAGGCTAATTTTCATCTGTCGTATCTGGGTTAGTGTCAGCTGTGTGGAAACATTTCATACCTTTAGATGGCCTTAAAATCTTAAATCAAGTTCTTCAATTAAAAATAGCTCATTTTTAAGGAAAAAAAGAATCTGATTATATTGGTTTCAGCCTATACTCAAGGTTTCAGTATCGGAAAAAGGCGATATTGTGCCATCTCTAATTTAGAGCCCCCTCACAAGACTCCCTCATAAGGAAGTGACATACCTAAACAACCACAGTGCTGTATCTCCCCACACTCAGCCTGTTGGTGCTTTTCAGTGCCATCTAGTGTCATGCTCCACACAGACGCAGACAGCACAGAGGCTCATTTGGTGAGCTCTCTCTCAGAGCTCGCCGTCCTCATCAACGCCATTCTCCCGTCTGGTGTAGAGGAAAGCTTCCTTTTCATGTGACACGGTGTCCCCATTATGGGCACAGTTGGACTTGCACGGATCAAGCTCTATATCGGGGCTAGAGCGAACCAGAGCACCTTCCGAGCTGTGCCTTATTCCGTAGCCAAAGTAGATCACCAAGCCTGAGAAGCAGAAATTGATAAAAGGAATTTGAAACTCTACATCGTTGTAAATAATCCTTTGCAACTACACTACATGACCACGAGCACATGCACAGCCAGCCATTGGCTGGAGTGGTGTTAACCACTTCATTATTGGACTCTGGAGCAGTGGAAATCACACTTCATCATCTGGCAGTTTGACAGGCAAATCTGGGTTTTGTGGATTCCAGGAGAACACTACCTGCCTGAATACAGTGCCAAATGTAAAGTTTGGTGGAGAAGCAATAATGATCTTGGGCTGTTTTAATGCTTTGGGTTTGGTCCGTTGGTTCCAGTGAAGACAATTCTTCATACTACAGTATACAGTGACATTCTGGAGAATACTGTACAAGCTTGTCCCATGCCCAAAGGGAGGTGCATAAAGAAATGGTCTGGCATGGTGTGGCCTACACAAAGTCCGGACCTTAACCAACATCAAATACCTTTGGGATGAATTGGAATACCTAAAGCATGCCATGCCTTCTCACCTAACATCATGCTGACCTGACTAATACTCCTGTGGCTGAATGGAAGAGAATCTCCACAGCAATGCTCCAAAACCTACTAGAAAGCTTCCCCTTAAGAGTCAAGGTTGTTATTTTAGCAAAGGGGGAACAACTTCATATTAATGCCCACGGCTTTGGAATGAGATGCTCAAAAAGCCCATATAGATGTCACGTTGCATGTCCACATACTTTTGGCCAGGTGGTGTAAATGGAAATTTTTCTTTCAGTTAATTAACCTTAGTTATTTTCACTGTTTTGTGAAACTCATGGCCATAAACTCCTGAATATTTAAAACAAGAAAAGCATAGATGTATAAAGGATGTATAGAATTCTATACATCATCACTGTCGAGATATTTTAGCTCAATTTTTTAGTTTTTTTGTTTCTGTACACTGATTTCAGTAATACTAGTTTTGTTATGAATGTGACAGTTTCCCAAATATACTGAACAAAATTCAGAGGATTTCCTAATTAGATTGTGTTTGGCATGTCAATCTGAAGTCTTTAGACAGTCTCCCTGCACTGCAGCATGTGAATTTGCACATACCGATGGACAGCCACAACGCGAAGCGTATCCACGTCCCTCTGTCCAACTGCATCATCAGATACACATTAACGAACATGCTAACCACAGGAATGAAGGGTAGCAGAGGCACCTGGAAGAAGAAGTAAAAGGGTCACAGTGAAACTAACAAAAGTTTATTTCATATTATTTTAGGGCTGTTCAATACACTGTTTATTACCTACGCCTTTATGCCTTTTTGTATTACTGATATGCAAATGAGCAAAACTTTTTATTGTGTGCTCTGAGCATCCAGACTATTTACAGATGTTCATGATGAAGGTTGCTGTGAGTTGTGAGTTCGACTGCTGGTGATGCAACACCAAGAGAACATAATTCTTGCTCTTTTTTTGGGATGACCCTCTCTCCTCACATCAATCAGCACAATGGTAGCTGATGTAACAGCTCTGGAAGTTAGCATTCTTCTCCGAGTGTGCTGAGCTGTCCAATGATGCTGCATTAGCAACAGTTTGAATAGATGCGGTGGCCGACTCAGGTGTTTTGGAGGAAGTACATGCTAGCCTTCACCCCCCCAGCTTGACAGCATTGTGTGATAGGGGAAGTGACATATAGAGATAGGGGGGAGACCTAGCTAATGGGTGGAACTGCCCATGATTACTGGCCAAAAATCCAAAATAGATCAATATAAGAAATACAAAAAATTTCTTAAACACGCCATAACTGAGCAGGGCTGTACATATAGTACATCTGTCTAACTCACAAATATAACTTGGCACAGCACTAACCTTAAAGGAAAGCTTGCTTTTACTCTGTGGCTGTCTCCAGACGATGAAAGTCAGAATGAGGCACACCATGGCTATCACACTGAGGATAGCTACGCTCCAGCTGGCTGCGCCCCCTTGAACGGCCAAAATGCTGAAAGCCAGGATCAGGAAGCCTGCAGCCCAGACACACGTTACATCGCCAACAAATCCCCAAGTGCTATATATCGATCAGGCATAACATTATGACCACCTCCTTGTTTTTACGCTCATTGTCCATTTTATCAGCTCCACTTACTATATAGGTGCACTTTGTAGTTCTACAGTTACAGACTGTAGTCCATCTGTTTCTCTGCATACTTTGTTAGCCCCCTTTTACCCTGTTCTTCAGTGGGCAGAAACACCTTAGACCTATTTGGGTGGTGGATCATTCTCAGCACTGCAGTAACACTGATGTGATGGTGGTGTGTTTGTGTGTGTTGTGCTGGTCTGAGTGGATCAGACACAGCAGTGCTGCTGGAGTTTTTAAACACCTCAGTGTCACTGCTGGACTGAGAATAGTCCACCAAACAAGTCCACCTGTGGGCAGCGTCCTGTGACCACTGATGAAGGATTAGAGGATGACCAACACAAACTGTGTAGCAGCAGATGAGCTATCGTCTCTGACTTTACCTCTACAAGGTGGACTGACAGAGTAGAAATGTCTAATAGAGTGGACGGTGAGTGGACACAGTGTTTAAAAACTCCAGCAGCGCTGCAGTGTTTGATCCACTCGTACCAGCATAACACACACCAACACACCACCACCACGTCAGTGTTACTGCAGTGCTGAGAATGATCCACCACCCATATGTTGTGTGAGGGTTCATGGGGGTCCTGCCCACTGAAGAACAGGTGAAAAGGGGGCTAACAAAGTATGCAGAGAAACAGTCTGTAATTGTAGAACTACAAAGTGCACCTATATAGTAAGTGGAGCTGATAAAATGGACAATGAGCGTAGAAACAAGGAGGTGGTCATAATGTTATGCCTGATCGGTGTAGGTACACAATGACCAAAAGAACACTTGACCTTTTACCATGCAGTTGTGTTAACTACATGGCTAGGAATGGTTAGTCTTTAGTTGGAACAACAGTTTGGATGTACATACATCTTCTCTAAATAGGTTAAATGTTAGGTGACCTTACCATGTTACTTGTTTACGATTCAAGAGGGAATGAATGAATGCATTATCAAATGTCAAATTTCACCACCATTCAACACGACCCGATTATTTTGGTATGATTCAGAATTATTTTTAAAACTACACAAATGTAACTGAAGGAACTATTTATGCAATAGTAGGTCACGATGCGACGTATTTTTACAACCCTACCAATGGGCAATGCAGTGCTGCTCGGAATAACAGGACAGAAATGGAAACAAACAACAGCGTCCATCATTCGTGTCCTACCTAGCATGCTGGCGCAGACATTGACAGCAGAGCCAGAAAGGCTGGACGGCTCCGTGTTGTCGGGGAAGAGTAGTGTTTTGAAGCTGAAGCGCTCCTCCATGCCAGGCAGAATGCCCATACTTGTGGCGCTGGATGATTCACTCAGCTCCAGCTCCTCATGTGTGTTTGCCATGTGGTACACCGGCGTAGGATGCTCTGGCTGGTATCTGAAACACAAACACATTCTCTGTTAGGATTTTCTGCAAGCATTTATGACCTGGGGTTTAACACAATATCTGAAGATGCTGACTAAACAGCAAAGATTTTTAAATGTGACAGTATTTTATAATAGATTAGAATACATCAACATAAAATCTCAGGCAATCTTAAAATGTAAAAATCCACATACTATCTGTATTCCACTTCATCTTTTATTGTCTGTATTTCACTACTGTGTAAATACCTTCTCTAGTCACACTAGTATACTAAGCGTATTTTTCAAAATAATTCTAAATCATACTAAAATAAGATGAATAGAATTGTGGTGTAATCTAAGATTTCAGAATACATTGAATAGTTTCTGAAAGAACTGTAATCAAATCCAATAGTTGTATGGTCATAGATTTTCAGCCTTAATTATGCTGTATCTGTTAACCTTTAAACCCTAGGCTGATTATTTGGTTATTAAATCTTAAAATGTGTTATTCAGCAACAACTATAAACTATTAACTATAAACTATTACATTTTTTGGTAATCAGTGGTGCGCAGTGGTGAGCTGTGGCTGTAAATTGTATAAGTAACAATATAAGGGGTTCAATGAAGACATTTGGGGTCTGACCCCTCAGTGTGATTGCCAGTGGCTCAGTAACTATTACTATTAAGTGCCATCAAGTCCATTCAAGTCCTCATGGTGACCAAATAGACACTTTTTCTCCAAAATATTGTGTCTTTGGTTCAGTTCTTCAGGTTTCTTCATGGGTTGATCATGATTCCTTTGATTGTCTCCATCCATCTTGTTGCCAGCCATTCTATTCCCCTTTTGCCTTCAACTGTTCCAACCATAACTGTCTTTTCCAATGAACTTCTCTGAACGACTTCTTCTCATGATACATCCAAAACAAGAGAGCTTCGGTTTGTTTATGTTCCTGGAGTGAGAGGTAAGGCTTGATTTGGTCAAAGATCCATTCGTTTTTTTTCTTTGTCATCTAATACACTCTCAAAAATCGCTGCCAACTCCAGTGTTCAAAGGTATGAATGTTTTCTATCCTGCTTTTTTTTGTCCAGTTTGATTTATGACATGTTCCTTGACTCCTGGATCCTTTGTCCTTAATAAATTTACTCAAGCAGGCAAAAACACTTCTACATCTTTTCTATCAATGGTAAAGTTAGTTGTCTTTCCAGTTTCCATTACCTCTGTTTACTTCGTATTGAGTTACATCTTTTCCCTCTGTTCTTTAACTTTCCTAATCAGGGCCTTCAGATCATCCTGATTATCTGCTAAGAGCATCATCTGCATATTGAAGGTCATTTGTGTTTCTTCCATTAATCTTGAATCCCTGATCATGATGCTCCAGTCCTGCTTCTCTCATTATATGTTAAACAAGTATGTTGACAGTATGAAACCTTGTCTAACTCCTTTGCAGATGTGGAACCAGTCTACTTGACCATTTTCTGTCATGTCTGTGGCTTGTTGACCAGTGTAAAGATTCCTCATTAAAATATTAAATGCTTTATTATCCACATTTTCCTGAGGACGTTCCAGAATTCTACATGGTCGACACAGTCAAAGGCTCTGCTCTAGTCAATGAAACACACTTGAATTTCTTGGCTTGTTTAGTTATCCAGTGTGAGGCTCTTGCCAGCATTGAATGATCTTGAGCATAATTTTACTGGTGTGTAATATAGCGTAAACTATATAACAGTCTGAAGTGTCCACATACAGTAGTTAAGAAACGTACCTACCACATACAGTCGTTAAGAAACCTCGGTCATTTCTCAGAATGTTCTCACAAAGAAAGGATATCCTTTTCTTATTTGTGGATAAATAAACCATTATAGTTGCCCGCCATGAAGGGGCTGTGCTTTCCACTAGGTGGAGACTGCTGGGACTGCAGAGTTATCAGTTATCATTTTTCAGGCCAGACACAAATAGCTTTCTATTCTGGAACTGTTGATCCTGTTCTGCTTAGTGTGAAACAATGTTGACTTAAAACATGACCTACTAAATTCCTCAGCAGTAGTAAGTTTAGTAGGTTTCTGTGTACGTTTTATAGAAGTCGGTATTTACTGATGACTCACAGCACACTAAGAGCCTCACCTGAGCACCAGCACACAGGCAGCAACCAGAGTGTACGCAAGGAGCGTGCCAATAGACATCAGATCAACTAGATCCTTCAGGTCGAACAGGAACGCCATGATGGCTGTGCAGGAGCAGAAAGAACACGTGTACACACACACACACACACACACACACACACACACACACACACACACACACAGAGAATTCAGCACTGATGTAGACATACTTTCAAACAGTACAACCCTTTAGATGGACATACAGTCATATGCAAAACCGCTGGTCAAATTACGTTTTATCGATTATTTTTTGAGAAAATAAGTAAAAACCTAAATATTTCATTTTCTGCAAATTTCAGTGCACAATTTATTAGCTGTGTTGAACATATTGCAAAGAATAAACAAATAAATAAAATCATTACTTTTCATTACTTTTGCACATTGTTGTTTCTTCCAATACGTTAAATTCATTAAATAAACCGTAATTGTGCGTTAAAATGTGCAGAAGTGTGTTCTGTGTTCACTTATTGTCACTTAGAAAATCAGCATAGCATGTCATTTGACCAGGGGTGCCCAAACTTATACATTCTGACTTATTATAGACAAAAATTAATGTATGTCTTATAATAATAATTATAATAATAATAACCGGGTTCAGACATATATATATACACACACACACACACACACACATACATACATACATATGTTATTCTATTAAGTCCCTACTATTTTACGCAGTTCACAAAAATGCTAACATTATATATATTACAAAAATAATTAAAAGCATCTCGTCACCAGGAACAGGCTCAGTGTTTCTGGCAAAACACAGTAATCTATAAATAGTGACGTCACTTACTGTCACCGGCAACATTTTCTAACTGTACAGAGACAATAATGTCTACAGTAAATCTCCCTTTTAAAAGTTCAAAGGATTAGAAACACAAATAAAACATTTAAAAGTTGCATAGACAAGAGATAATGACAGAGTGTTCAGATGACTGACCTTGTCCTTTTATCTCTGTTTGCATTTTTCTGCTACAATTACCATGGAGCCAAATTTCCTAACAGAAGTGTTATGCAACGGTGGTCCAGCAACACCCCGGCTTGCACATTTTCCCTGCTCTAACACAGCTGAACTGAGCTAACTTACCCTTGGAAGGCTACAGATGTTGCTGTCATTGTATATTATTTATACTATTTAAATGTAATACTAAAAGGATAATATTAAAATTTACACAATTAACCCAATTAATTTTTGCAGGCCTCCTTGTGGCCATTCCAAGAAACTGACTAGGTGAATATTTTTATTGATATAATCAAATAAAATATTTGAATTCAAAATATAATTAAAAAATTGCTGAAATTTGTAATTTAATTAAAAATGTGTTAGTCTTACTGTGTTAAAAATGAACCTCTAAAATAGGCTGAAATTGCATTTTATAGCTACTGTGTAAAAAGTTAATCACTTAGTTATGTAAGAATTGATTTTTTTTATTCAGATTCATTTGATCTACATTCTATACTGACATTCTGATTTTCCGCTCAATCATTTTGTCCATTTTAAGTGAATTTCCAAAAGGTTGATAAAAGAAAATGCGAATGATTCAGCAATGATTTCTTTCAACTATAGTTATACACATATTCTTAAAGATGATGTCAGAAGCTTTCGATGTACGACGTCACGCTCACCGTGTGTTCAAAACTGTATTTAGCTGTACACCGAAACCTTGCGAACACCAACGAGGCAAACACTTTTGAAAAGATGTAGCGGCAAACAGATGAGTTTTGTTCTTGCTATGACACCATTTATTTTTCTTTAGCAATAAACAAACTTTTGCCCCTCATCCAAGCATAAAAACCTTTTGCGATATTTAGGCATTTTTTTAATTTCTGGCTTTTCCATTCAGGGATTTTTATGTGCATAAAAATAGCAAAAATGTGAAAGGGAAATATAACAACACAACACAAAATTTACAATTTCCAACTTTTTAAAAAAAATTAAAATTTGCTAAATATTTGAATGGAAACCCCACTAGTTCAAAACTGTGACAAAAATAACCCAAAAAAGTACAGAATGCTTTTTATTGTATGCGCAACTATAACTTTTAATCAACTGCAAATCATAACAAACAACTCCCTTTTCTTCTAATGAAGACTGATGATGAATTTTTAAAGTCTAGAATCTGCACTATGCTTTTGTTATTGCTGGCAATAACTGCAACTTCCATCAGCAAAGAAGCCCTTCCTGAGTTTAAGTGGGTGTGCAAAAGCCAGGAAAACACTTCAATGTGCAGAACTCCAGGACCAGGAAACCACTACTTTATACAAGACTTGTGCAAAGTTTGGCACAGACAAAAAAGTAGCATATAATACAAAAAATTAATATAGCAGACAAATACAGTAGATCATAAACTTTATAGCACACTCTGACTCAAAGGTCACGCATTTCAAACACTTTAGATTTTTATAAAGGCTTAGTTTTGCAAAATATATCACTGTTATAGTAACTCCATTTGTTACTCTTTGATGGCTGTTACATCATGTGAACCTTTTATGATAAATTGGCAGAAATGGTCCCAAATTACCTGAATTATAATTTTGTTAAATTACAGTTTTTTAGTTTTTCTGTAAAGTTACTGATTTTGAGATTTGAGGTTTTGTTATAACAGCAAGGATATAAAAGTAAAAACACAATACAGTGAAGCTACTGAAAAAGCTAGTTATCAATCCCACTAGTATGGCATCAACCGTACTATAACAAGTTTACAGTGAAATCTGTGTGAAAACACCCATTCCTAACTGACATACTGGTAAAATGAATGACAGAACAGGTTTTGAAAGGTTCTAGTAAGATCTCTTTGTTTTTGGTGTAAACTTCAGGATTATTAATTCTCTCGCTACGACTACACCAGAGCATGTTTTAGTATTTTCCTTCTGGCGGTCTCCGCTCTTACCAGACAAGACCCCCGCAGATACTGTGGACACAATGGGCGTCTTCCTCTCGCTCACGCGGGCCAGAAAAGAGAAGAGGAGACCATCTCGGGCCATGGCAAAGATAATACGTGGGAGAGGGAACATGGAACCCAGTAGACTGGGCACAGAAGAGTGGACGAGGAAGGTGTACATCATAATACACAAAACAAAAACAATAAACAGAATGAAAAAAAAAATGCATAAGCCCTCATGATGCCGTGGGATACATGGTGTCCATTCGCAAACATGCTAGACATGCTCTACATGCTTTTTCTGAGCCCAAACCAATAACAGACTCCCGACACCAGATACACATGACTAGGTACTGCATGCACAGTGACAGTCAAGAGCACAGCAGGACAGCTCTGCTGAGTCTCAATCTCAAGGCCAATACATGTTAGTAGTATTAAGAGCCATTCTCACCTGCCATAAGGCCTGATGTTAGAGTAGCACGTAAGGGGGTTTTTGTTTTCGGGTTTATTTCAGCGATGTATTTGAAGAGCAGCCCGTCATCTGCCATTGCCCACAAGACCCGGGGCGTTGGGAACATGGCGCCAATCAAGCTAGCGTGAGAGACGAGGGGGGGGGGACAGGCCATGGCATGCAAGTCAAAGAATGACAAACTGCAATCACTGTCTTATGGCAAAGTGCATTCACAGTCTGTGATGAAACCCAAACAGCTGACAGACGCTGCTGTGGTTTCATCAGAATAAGCGATAAAGCAACAGTTTAGACAGTTCATGGCACTTGAACAAAATGCCACAAACAGCCCCACACCACATACCAAGTCAGAGAGTGATTAGATTTCCCAGGAAAAAAAAGATCAAGTCCAACAAATGTTAAAACATAAGGCTGGTTCTGTCTGGTGTGGTCAGCATCTTCTTTATGAAAATTGAATTACAGCAACTTATTGGTTAATCTTATTTTAACATATCTGAGGTAACACATCTAACATTTAAAGGGGCGTTCTGGTCTAAAACTTTTCTATGTTGTTTGTCGTGTCATGCAGTGCAGCACAGCTTTACATTCCTCAGCTTCATCAGTTTGTAACATCAGTTATTTACCTTCCTACCATGTAATGGGAAAAAACACATTTGGGGACAGCCCTCCCCCAAAAATCCACCCTAAGGCACTAGCTTTTCAAAAGCTCCTCCCACTTTTAGAGATATCCTCAGAAGGGAGTTTCCTTCCTTTTCTGAAAACTGATTTGGAGAAATTCTTTGCATTTTTTAGCTTATATAAAGCACTTAAGTACTTAGGAACTGTGCAAACATTACTAAAAAATGATTAAAGAATTAAAAAAGTGATTAAAAAGAATGGCTAGAGGCCATATCTCTGGCAGGGTGTTTTGCATGATTACCACACATGGCCCTGAATCACTTCCACTTACATAACTTTGAAATATGATTTACGACTCAACACTCCATGCCAAATCTCACTGCATATTTTTAGCAAGGGGCTCATATGTATGACCTTAGACAAATATACAAATGCACTCATGCACAGGCAGCAGGGCTCAATCCTAAATCACCTCTTTCTGTCCTCCTCTGGCTCCACCTTTCAGGCAGATTTAAAGCAAAGCTTGTGGCCAGTAAGACAGTCAGGAATAAATCTGGCCTAAGAATAATGTAGTGAAAACTACCCTGTAAAATCTTGATGCGCAGCACAAATCCAAAAAAGAAAAATTAATGTAAATTAAACTTTTAAACTGGAGGGCGCACAAACTTTCTATGTAAATTCAGCGCATTCTACAAACAAAACTCAGTGTAGCACATGCATGCATATTAATATTCCTATTCATTTATTTAATTTCAAGTAAAAAGGCCAGGAAGACGTTGTGTGTACTTGTTTATTATTCATACTTTGACCAGGCACTGCAGTCCTGTTTCGCAGTCCTGTCTTGGACTAGAAATCTGTGGCTACCTACAGCACTGAATATTCTGAATCATTTCAAAGCAATAACTCAGAACTGAAGCATGAAGGAGGAGGAGGAGGAGGAGAAGGAGGAGGAAAGAACTGGTTGTGAATTGAACCCTTTTGCACATGCAGCATGCAGTTCCATGCACATGCAGTTAGCTTTGTGCTTACCTGGTGGAAAGAGCACATAATGAGCCTATAGCCACTGCGTAGGTGGCCCCCTCCCAGCCCACATACTTAAAGGCCACGGGCAGAGGGCTGTTCTTGTCCAGCATGTAATACGGCATCATCATGGTGAGAGCGGCCGACACTCCAAAGTAGGCCACGAAGCAGATGAGGAGAGAGGAGACGATGCCGATGGGGATGGCCCTCTGCGGATTCTTCACCTCCTCACCTAGGAGATATTTAAGTGACCTATGTGCAAAAACTGGAATGTCCTCACTGGTGTAACATGACATAAACCAGCACAAAGAGTTCAGCATCGGGGTGTAAATGTCATATCATGCTTTTACATGCTCTTGCGCCGACCGACCAAGTTAAATTCCTGTGTGCGGTACCTTTGGCGAAAGAAGTGATTCTGATTCTGATGATTCAATTATTTTGACACAATTCAGAATTCATTTTGAAGTTACAGTAAATGCACAAGTGTGACCACAAGAACAATTTACATAGTAATGGAACATTTTTAAAATTGGGGTATAATCAATTAAACGTTTTCTAATTTGATGCAGTTGAATCACCACCTTCAGATCAATGCACATAGTTTTTCACTCCTATTTAGCATCATTTAAAATTTGCTGCCTAGCAATCAAACGCTTGACCCTGAATAGCTTCAGCATAAACTGGCATACTCTCACACATCATAAACACAGAATGAGGTGCTCCCAGCAGGACTTTAACCTTGTCCTCAACCTTATTATAGTGGAGGCAGCTGAGCCTGGAATTCAGCTTGCTTATTTCAACACAGTGGGATATGTGCCCACAAAGCGCCAACACTGAATAGCAAATCTTTCCAAAGCAATCACAGTTAAAACATCTGAACAATAATGTTTGTAAGAGAGGAGAGTAGATGAGAAGACCTTACAGACAGATTTAAAAGCAATAAAAACTTGCCTTACACAATGACAACTATCTCACTGTCACAGATTAACACTCATGAATTCAGTTACTTCATGAAAAAGTAAAGGACAATTTAGCATTGCAAATAAACTTATGGGGCACTACCTGGAGGCTTTTGTTATAATTCCTTTGAGACATACACTCACTAAGCACTTTATCATATACACCTCCTTGTTTCTACACTCATTGTCCATTTTATCAGCTCCACTTACTATATAGGTGCACTTTGTAGTTCTATAATTACAGACTGTAGTCCATCTGTTTCTCTGCATACTTATTAGCCCTCTTTCACCCTGTTCTTAAATGTTCAGGAGCCCCACAGGACCAGCACAGAGCAGGTATTATTTGGGTGGTGGATCATTTTCAGCACTGCATTGACACTGACACGGTGGTGGTGTGTTTGTGTGTGTTGTGCTTATACGAGTGGATCAGCTTCAGCAGTGCTTCTGGAGTTTTTAAACACCTCGGTGTCACTGCTGGACTGAGAATAGTCCACCAACCAAAAATACCCAACCAACAGCGTCCTCTGACCACTGATGAAGGACTAGAAGATGATAAACACAAACTGTGCAGCAACAGATGAGCTACTGTCTCTGACTTTACATGTACAAGGTGGACCAACAAGGTAGGAGTGTCTAATTTACATATACACACATGTGATATGTGTGCGTGTACTCTAGTTCTGTATCAGCTCTGCGATAAAATTTCATAGTTCTAGCTCAAAGATTGCGAACCATAAAAATGGCAAAATAAAAAGTGCAGAATATAAAACAAAGAACAGTAATTTAATTCTATATTCTCTGGACAGCACACCTCTGCCGCAGTATTTAATCTGCTCACAAGTAGAGACTCAATCCAGGAAAAGCAAATCCATAATTTGTTATAAGATAAATAACTTCAAGCATATCATGATTTGACATTTACTGCATGAAGTCTACGTAAGAATAAGATAGAAGACTGTAGAAGTCATGTGTATCTAAGGACATGTGCATCTAAGTGTGTGTCCTGGCGCTTGATCTGCACTCTAGCTGGCCTGAGGCAGCCAAGACTGGTATGTTCCTGCCAGAAGCACAAAGCACAAGGGAAAGGCCAAATGCTAGTAGGGAGGTGGAGGGGGAGGGCTGGGTGGTTTAGAGGGCTATCCCAAACATGGCAGCTTACTCTTGGTACACAGACATCCCTGGGCAAACCTAAAACCTCTTCCACCAATCAGAAGGTGGAAAACGCAGGGGTGTGAACAGTGCCTAATTTGAAATCAGGGTAGTTGGCCAGAAATCATTTGAGAAACCGGTTGAGAACCAGTTAGAAGCCGACAGAAAACTGCACACAAACCTTCAGGGGGAGTTAAGAGGGCAGGGACTGGCACAGGCAGAACATAAACATTTACTGTGAAGGCCACTAGCTACACTTAAACATAGAGCGGAAAAACAACTCACCATCATTCTAACAAACGTGTGGCAATGCGTCACAAATTTGACCTCTGGTGTAACTTAGAGCAACAGCAGCACAAATACAGGGCATCTCAACAGGCAATACTGAGCTGCAGTATGGGAGACTTTCGAGAGGTCTTGGTCCAGAGTTAAACTGGGATTTAAGAGGGGAGCACTTCTTTATTTATGGATGTGAACAATACTTTAAATGGCTTGTGGTGTTTAACAATAGCCAGTTGTCGACGCAGTAAATGTCATGATTACATAAACTGGCTTTTTTTCATTTAGCAATTTAGTACAGTTTCCATTAATAATTATATCTGCATATGCAGATATATACAATATAGCACATATCTGCATACCCAGATATAGTCATTAATAAAAACTGCTAAAGACTTGTATCTATGCTGTACGGTGCCAGGGCATCAGAAGATACTCAGTTCTTTTAAAGCGAATATCAGTACAACTGCAAAAAATATTAGAACAAATTATTACTAAAAATATCTCAATGACTCAAAGAGAACCAATGATCATTAAACAAAGTCAGGTTTGGTGGAATATATCTTAATGAATATATCTTATAAAATGTCGCTGTCCAAAATAAGAAACTAAAACAAAACACTTTCTAAACGTATTGTAAACTAGAAAATTTTTGCCAAAACATTTTAAACTTTTAATGTTACATTAATGTAACAAAGTTTTACTTCAAATGATTTTGGAGTATTTCTATTGGTCAGTTCATCATGACATTTTACCACAATGTAAATGACAGCTGTCATGATGTTCAAATGATGTAGAAAAAAAAAAGAGACACATAATTCCCTAGATATAGATAGATATACAGATGTACAAATATAGATATATCTTAATGGAATAAGAAAAGTTTGAAAGAGTCTACTTGTCTGGCTGATCAGCATTGTGTCAGTGTTTCAGAGACAGTGATGTAGCCTTGGTAACAAACAACAATACAGAGGAAAAAAATGTGAGGATGAGGCCTGAGCCACTTAAAGGTTGAGGTATAGTGGACTAATTTATGTAGAAAGCAGAAATACAACTAAAAAGCAGGGAGAACAAAGCCTGCAACTGTGAAAATTGGCAGATCGAGAGGAGGACGTGCCAGTTTACGAAACCATATAGCTTGTAGGGGCTCAGATACACTTGCTGTTCACACGACGCTCGGGCTCAATTTGACCTCTGTCTTCCCCTCTCCCATTACCTCTCATGCACTCACTCACCTGTGGTGGCAATACAGTCGAACCCTACGAAAGCATAGAAGCAGGTGGCCGCCCCGGAGAGGACTCCGCTGAAGCCAAAGGGCATAAATCCACCCATCCCTAAACTCTCTTCTGATACCTCAGGCTCTGATGTACTGGCCAGGGAGAAAAACATAAAGAAAAGAACATTTCACAGAACTGATTAAATGTAGTTTTGTTAAGTAAATCCATGCATTTTCATTTACAAAACGTCCACTAGAGACCACAGTTTACTTTGGTAACTGTCACAGATTTCAAATGTGCATTATAATACCCTGTTGCACTGGCAAACATAGACAGTCTCCCACAAAACCACCACTACAATCAGCACTGAAATAGCTTTAGAGTTGATGATGAACCTGCTAAGTACTGGGAAGCAGAACAGAAAGGGGAGGAGTTGAATATGGGGATCAGCTTCTGCATGCTGCTCACTTGAAGCCTGAGGAGTTGGATCTGTTCAGGATGTCCTCAGGATTCAGCTGCCAGTTCTTGAGCGTGCCTTTGACCAGGCCCGACACCACCATGAATAGCAGCACCAGGACGTTAATGCAGGTGAATATCTTATTGACCATAGCTGACTCCTTCACCCCAAAAGCCAGCAAACCTGTAACGATACAATTAATTGGAAAGTCCTACAGAGCAGTCCACAAGTGACTGAGGAAGTACATGTTACAACATTCATACCGAAGACTGTTCTATTACATTGTATGTATTAAAAAAAGGTCATAAATGTCCATTAATTTATAACTATTGATTATAATCAGATGTTGTAGAGATGGGATGGTATGAAAATTTCCTATCATTCGTTTCATGATATTAGTGACCAAAACGATCACAATTCTTGCTTTTAATGCACACTGAAATCAGTTCTGTTGCTACAATTATATTGAGACTTTTGTGAATCTCTTTACAAAAACAAAAGCAATCAAAATTTAATAAGTATCTAGGTTTTGGCTAGATTCCTTTGTCTGTGCTACGCAGGGATATTGTAGTAAGTATTTCTTTTGGCTACCTTTTTAAAACTTAGAGCAACAGCAGCACAAATACAGGGCATCTCAACAGGCAATATTGAGCTGTATACATTTACTGAAATTAAAGTGGGAATTTCACTGATTCTTGTCATAATTTCTTCATAATTAAATTGTTTATATGTAAAAGTCATCCAGAGCATTTTTCACAGTGGTGGTGACAGGAACCAGTTATCTAAAGCACTTAACACCCCTTTAAACTTCGCCCTGGACCAGGGCCAGTGTCCTGCACAGTTTGGTGATTTATCTGCTCAAACACACTTGATTACACTCATCTGTTAATTTTTAAGTTAAGTGGGAGTGTGTGAGTATGGCATTGTCCTGAATGCTGGCCCTCCGGGACTGGAGTTGTGCAGCCCTGCCTTAACAGCTACCTCACAGAAAGCTATTGCAAGAGGTGGTTGTGAATACACTGCTGATGCACGACGTATTGTTTCATGATAGTTTTACATTAAGGTTTTTAAATCCTTTTATGGCAGAGAGGTACATGGAGGGCAATGCTCTCCTCAAAACTTTACTAATTACTGTTATCAACATTATATATAAAACTCAGAAGACATGTAGCTTCACTGATCATTTTGGCTAGTAAACAAAAAGATTGGTAAGATTCTTTACAGAACACCGGTTCACATCAAACCTCTCTGAATGACTTACATCCTAAGGACTGAATTTGAACTTTGAAACAGTATTTCTAATTATTTAGTGTTTACAGTATTATGATCACTGCTTCATCCCTGTTGCAAAAGCTTTCGTTTTCAACGGAAAAGAAGCACAAAAATTTTACAGATTACTTTTCTGATAAGCTTGTATGTGCCTGAAAAGTGTCATGAACACTGTCTGATGAACTTATGTAGTACCTGTGAGACCCAGGATGATGGCCACAGCAAACATGTCGGGATACTCAGCCAGCACACCTGGGGCCTTCATGCTCATGTACTGACGACAGAAGTGCTCAATATGTTTACCAGTCAGCTCATCGAAAGTGGCACTCCAAGCTCGAGCTACGCTGGATGTTCCTTTTCGAACAGAAGAGAACAGGAAATTAGAAAATAAAACAGCTCTGTGCTGGAACCGTTCACAAAGCAAAGTGAAGTGAATTTTACAGGGCTAGATACACAGTAACTCTAAGTCTATTCTTAGACCAAAAAAGGGCCCCTACTCTCATTATCGATTATAATAATGTTCAATAATATGAGCTTTGGAGAAAAAAAGTTCTCTGGCTTCAATCCGAATCATGATGGAATTCAAGTTCAAATCATTTCATATAGAGTTTCAACTGAATTCAAACACTGTGAGGTCAGATTTATGCCCCTAATAAATCAGAGACTTGGCCTAGGCTGCGCTCAGGATTAAATGAAGCATTAGGCATCTTTTTATACGCACTTTATATATAAGGAAACATGAACTTTGATACTGTAAGTCCTACTTTCAGCTACTGTGTAAACTCAGCACTCATGTACTGTCTTACCGATGATATAGGAGAGGATCAGGTTCCAGCCGGTGATGAAGGCCCAGAGTTCTCCCACTGTCACATAGCTGTAGAGATATGCTGAGCCCGTTTTGGGCACTCGTGCCCCGAACTCAGCATAGCACAGGCCAGCCAGCACCGAGGCCAGGGCCGCGATGAGGAAGGACAGCACTATGGCAGGCCCTGCATTCTGCCTAGCTACCGCTCCAGCAAGCACATACACACCAGCCCCCAGGGTACTGCCCACTCCCAGGGCCACAAGGTCAAAGGTGTTCAGGCAGCGGGAGAGGCGCGAGTCCTCAGAGCAATCCACCACTTTTACCCGCAACAGCTGCTTCCCAAAACTCAGGAGCTTCTGCAAAACCATGGCTTGTGCAATCTGGTCCAATCTGGTCTGATCTGGTCCAGTCTGGTCTGACGTCTAAATCCACACAAGTAGCCTACCTGTGGGGGCAGCATCAAATGAGTCATAACATGCACTGTGTAAGCAATTTTACAAAACTGGCTAACCAGGGAATGACCTCACTGTGTATCAACAGGTCAGGGTTAATGGTGGTACAACAAAGATTTGAGTGAGTATTAGCTCTTATTATTTAGGACTGTCACAATCAGAAAAACACGATTACTCCACTATAAAAAAATTACTGATTAAAATGTACCTTCGAAATGAACCGTCAGTGTTTAAATTACGAGTCATATGACGATAATGTACATTTTAAATTCTACTACAGGTCTACATTACAGTAAGAAACAGAGCCTGACAGATACTACCATTTATATTTATATTTTTAACCCCTTAAATGGCCCAGACCTGCAGCGGGTCCAGGATCCCACTCTTCGCTTGTATAACTTGAGGATAACTCAAGTTATAACTCAAGTTAAGCCAGTGTGGTTTGTTTCCATGTATTTACTGGATAATTTGCCTTAGATTTAAACTTAGGAGTTTACAGTGGAGTTACACTGAAAATTCTGCAAAAATTATGAAGTAAAGAGAAATTCTGACTTAGATTTCTTTACATTAGAGTTTGTATAGTAAATAAAAAAAATATATATTTTTTTTTTTGGGTACTTTGGGTATTTTGCCTTCGAACGCACTACACCTATTTTTCAATCATCTTAAAATATGTTTTAGGCCAAAACTGTATCTTGAAAGTATTTTAAAACAATGTCTCAGGCTTCAGACATCAGGCAGCATATCTGAAACCATTTTGTATGTGTACCTTTCTATAAAGTAGCTTTTACAAGTATTAAATGCTTTGGATGATTGATTCCTGTCACCACTGCTGTGAGTAACCATGACTTTTGTTTCTCTACATTAAACTACTCTGAATGACATTGTTAACATCTTAACCATTTAATTACGTAGAAATTTTGAAAAAAAGATCTTTGGTGGAATTCCCCTTTTATCATATCATGGACATTTGTAAATGCTATGCATGGCTCTTTATTGTTCAAGTTAGTCCATTATTTTTATTTTTATTTAAAAAACTCTGATTATTCAGACATGATTACTCAGGATTAACAAAAATAAATTACTTAAATACTAATATCCATAGTAACAGCCCTATTACTATTTCATACTTTTTCCCCTTTTTCATACATTCTTTTTCCCTTGTTAGTTCTGTATATAGCACTTTGATTGTTATCAGCTGTTCTGGCATATAGTGGTGTAACTGGTTGCACTCCTCAGCACATGCTAGACCACCATTCATCATTCAGTGGAGGCCAACGCTGAGGCGAAATGAACATTTTGTCCTTCCAGCTACAGAGGACGAGCTGGCAGCAGAAAGCAGCTGTGCAGTGATATATGGCTCTGAAAATCTGTTCTCACAAGAGAAACTTCATTCATTTTGCTTATATAAGAGAGCAGTTGAATGAAAACAATTCGGAGAGAAAAAATGCGCTCCAGCAAGGAGTCGGGAGGTACTATCATTAAGTTGGTCAGGAGAATGATTATAGCAAAAGAACAGCCAGCTGGGGAGAACACCTGGACTGCTGTTGTTCACAAGTCTCACTTTCGGGCCTCAGTATTTATTTTCAGCCAAGAAAAATTAAACTATGAAAGTACGGTACCTGCTATACATAAGGGGCAGTCAGTGGGTTTGTATGTCTTCAGCTGTTGCACTATTTTCCTGAGTTATTGGGCAACACAGAATGAAATCCACTCAGTGTGACTACTGGCAGAGGCAGAGGGGCCCACAAGGGCTAATCCATCTTGCTCTGAGACACCATTCCACAAACTGATGTTGCGTAACCAAGGGATGGCCTGAATATCAGAAATACTGTACATCCAGACAGAACTACCCATTAGGAAAACAACAAATATTTGATAAATATTAAAAAAACATAGGCTAAACTAATTGGTACAATTATTTCTGTCATCATCTTCCTTTGAGTAATACACGAGCAACAGATGTGAAAGCTGAAAGAATATCAACATTAAATTAAGTCATCACAAGTTATGACCTAGTGATCCTGGCTTGGTCACCCTATCCAAAAGCACTTGACAAAGGATGACAAAGGTTCTCTAGGAAATTCATTTCCTGTCATGCCAGACTGTCAACAGAACGTTACACAGACAATGAACTAACACAGTTCTTTGCTTTTGCGCCTACAGATCATATATGCTGCTTCATACACAGCGAAAACCAAATAAGACCGCAAATGGGGTAAAGAGGTCACTCTAGTGCATGCTAAGGATCTCTGGCCCTTTAAGAGCTGCCATGTTACACAGACAGGCACAGCATGGTCTGGCAAGGCTTTGCTTGTCAACGTGCTATTACAGACTTTGGGCCTGTTTAGCACATTTGGTGCGACTTAATGCCGGAAGTTCTAAATTAAAATGAGATTAGAGCTACAATTCAGTAAATCCCACCAGCTGCTCACGTAGGCATGACAAAGGCGGTTCTCATGACACTGAATTAAAACTATAGTTCCATTTGCCATCAGTTTTAATAAGCATTCCAAACGACTACAGCAAAAAAAATCTTCACAACAAGCGATGAATGACATTGGTTTAACGTTCAGGAAGTTCAGGCTACAATCAAAGCTTTACAGCCTGCCTAGCACTATCCAGCATTTTAACTGGGCTTTGTTGCTGGCCGAAATCACCTTAAACAAATCAAATAGATGAGCATTGTGTGTGGGAAAACAGAAGGACTCAAGAGCCTCAGTAACAAAGCAAAGAAGCGAATAACATACAGAGCTTAAAGCAACATAATCTTTACCTGCTGAGAGCAAGTGAGGGAGACCTATCTCTGAAACCCTGGATACTGCAGACCACTCTCTCTTTCTCACTGCAGTCCTACAAATAGAATGGTGACACATCACATGGCCAAGATATTCCAGGAGGACTTTGTATGTGTATGTGTGTGCAATACATTAAAACTGTCCATCAGCGTCCGAAACCACCAAATCAGTCACAATGTATTTGTATACTACACAAATAATGAGCGCCATTACATTAACACCTAACTACAGGTGGGCAATATGATGATTTTTATCACTATTGTGCTTAATTCCATCATCGGCTGCTTTTCTGAGCATATCATGGATATTGTCATCACTTAGGCCAACTGTATGTTTCATTACAAAGTTAATAATTAGGTCAATTTTTCTTGGATTTGGTACAGTGAAGTCTGTGAAACAGTGAATTAAAATAAAAAATGCACTGGTATGGGAATCGTAGCCCGATGCTGATTGCAAATACTTGAGCATATCTGCTGATGCTGTTACCGATGGCGGCACATTAAGGGTGTAACAATTTCAATAAGTATCAAAAATTCAAATTTGAAGCGAAATTTGAAACTGTACCACCGATACGCCCCTGAGTCTTTTCTGAGACTCCCTCATTTATCAGCTTTTGTGGATAACCATTGTTGATGATCAAAACTAGGCATCTAAGGGCGTCCTATTAGAGTTAAGTGGGGCTCAAATGACTACAATGATCGTTATACCCCTATTAAACCTTTACAAAATGTAGACTTTTTAACTATATTGACCTGGATTAGCATTACAAAGAAATGTAAAATAATACCAATATCTGTACAAATGCAGTAAAATGAATAAAACACAAAAGCGCAGATTTCACTGCAGAAGCCCAGCATCACCTTAAACATCCTGCTCTTCCAATAAATACATCATAAAATATTCGGTTATAATGCCAAATCTAAAAATCTACGCAAATTTAAGCAAATACCTGCCGATACTGATATGATTCTGCTATCATTGTGCATCCATACCTAAAATCATTGCACTCACAGTATTTAATAGTACTTTATGAAACGTAGCCACTTTTGGTGCTTTTCCATGTGTGCCAACTACTCAAACCAAAAAACGAAATATGGTGACACGTGCAATACATGAAAACGTCTCCAAGTGTCATGATGTTAGATTATTGCCATATCGCCCAGCTGCTGGACCTGTGGATAGAAAGCAGACTGGTAGTAAACCAATGAATGACAATTAGCAAAATCCCACAGCAAACTGTACGCCTTCATTTCAGTCATGTGCTCAATTTTATTTTCATTTGCAATGCATAAGCCAGAGGACTTTGAAAACCTTGGATCCAGTTTCAGGTCCAGAATTCAGTAATCACTGGTAGCTCACACACTAGACGGTCAGTCAGTTACATCAAAAACAGTTCAATTCACCAATGTGATTACAAAATCCAGGACTTCAAATGCGTCGTTAAGGAATCTCAAAAAGACTTGTTTATGTCCTTTCTGACACTGTCACTGCTACTGCTGTTGTTAGCTATGTGATGTATTGTTGCCCATATTTACACAGTATGTCATACAGTCTCACAAACCACATAAGTAAGTCTGTTAGATTACTTACCAACTCCACACATGAGTGTATTTATTTAGCCATGCAGTTTGCACAGGGCTAATTAGGCTTAAGCAATGTATTGGAGCATAAGGCTTGGATCATAACCTTCCATTTCCTATCTACATTATCACTGGTGCAAAATTAAAGAAGAACCCTTTGGGTATTACTGCATGTTTACACTAAGCAGAAAAATGACATTAATTTGATTTTTGTTATTTTATTGGCTTTACTGTCACTGGGTGAGAGCGTGGACAGCCAATCAGATGAGCTCTCTTCTCGACAGACACACACTCCAGACCTCCAGAGCATGAAACAGCCCCCTTCCCACACGGCGGGGGGGTTCATGATGAAGCTATGTGCGGCATACGTTCGTAGTCAGCATGGAAACACCTGTGGAATCTAAATTGAAAATCAATCCAGATAATTCCATCTGAGTCAGAGGTTGGATTGTGCAAAGTGGAGCATGCACACAACATCTGACATTGCTTTTTAGCCAGGGTGACCTGTGCGCCTGGACAGATACACACATATAACACATATAAACACAGCCTGACCAAATTAAGCAGGCAGGAAGCGCAGGGGTGTGGTGCTTCATGCACCAATCGCTGCACGAGGCTCTGTTTTGGTGTGTAACAAACAGCGCAGGACTTGCTTGGGTCACTTTTAAAGGTATATTCTACTAATATTCCAAAATCTCTGCAAACATCAACCATTAAGAGGTAAACCAATGGTTGTTTAGTCATCCAAAGTTGTCTGATGCAGAACAGTGCATGGTACAGAAAGCTGAATCTGATTTCTTTACAATGGCGATGACATGAACCAGGGGTCACAATGTCTACAATGCAAATACAGCCATCTAATTTTCTATCCAAAACCACCAGTGAATTTACACGTGTGCTCTGAGTTTTATATGTAATGTTAACAACAACAACAACAACAACAACAACAACAACAACAACAACAACATAGTGGTAAATCAGAGGAAATGCTTTCCTTTGAGTACTAGTTTGCCTAATAATGCTCTTAATGTACCTCTATGCCATGAACTGATTTTGAAGGGTGCATATACTCATTTACATATAACCACCTGCCTACAGCAGGTTAGCCCTGCCCACTCACACTGAAGTTCTAAGCAGTGGTTCAGCTCTGAGTGTTTTATAATTGAGGCACAATACAGGGCAGAACAGAGCCCATTTAATCCTATATAAGTCTTAAAAGCACAGTTAAGAAAACAGCCTGTTTAATTCTAACACATTGTCCTAACAGCTAACAAACATGAGTGAGCAACTACAACAAAACCAAAACGCTCCCATTATAATTAATGAAGCTGTCTACACCACCTGCGAGTGGCAGAGTGCGATGCGATCCATCTAGAGGTGGAATGGCAGAGCGATGCAACATGTCAAAAATAGAAATGTCTGCCAAAATGCCATGTCACATCGCTCTGCAATTCCAGCTCAGAATGGATGAGGAGAAACTTATACATGAAATGGAAAAAAAATAGGGATCTCAACAACACTTAAACAGTAAATATTAAAGGACGTTAACAGAAAAGAAACCATTTGGGGATACAAGTTTGCATATCTCTGTTGTCTTCAAAATGATTACTTTACAGGAGAAAAAACTACTTTACTTTTAATGTAAGTCAATGGAACCAGACTTTCTTCCAAGTCATTAGGGTTTCCAAGTCTTTTCTTTTGGTCCATCCTTAATGAAATTTACACACAATGTAAAAGACAACAGGCGTTTCAAATTATGTCAAAAACTGAACGACAAAAATTAACATAAGAGGTTTTCTTCCGACAGCAGTGACATACAACTCAACAGTGTTAACATTTCCAGTGTTGACATCCTGAAGACTTTGCGATGTGATACTACATTTGAACGCTCGCTTGCTATTTGTACACAATATAAGGGATAAAGTGAGGTTGGAAAATGGTCACGCAAAAATGAATTGTGGCCATTTTGAGCACATAAATCATAACCACACACGAAAGTGGACAAATACAAGAAAAAATTCGGATATGAGCCCTTTATAATATTTGTGGAAAAACCTTATCGCAATACGACTGTCAAACAATGTTTAGACATCAGCCAGCTTATCTGCAAGCATTTTAATGTAACAACTTTCTGTGAGGTAGCTTTTAGGAGCATTAAACCAACTGGACATCTGGCTCCTACCACCACCACTGTGAACGATTCTGACTCGATAAGATTCTCTAGAATGGAGCATTTCACACCAAACCACTTTGAATTATTTTGTTTACATTTGAACAATTGAATCAGGGAGAACCTTTGAAAAATCACTGAATTCCCCTTTAAGAATCCCAAACAAACTTAAACTTTATTTGTTCTGCTGCAAATTTCACATTCATTACTGAAGTAAGTGTAAAGCATTGTCATCAGTGAATGGAGGAACCACTAAAATGCAGTTTCTAAGAAACTACATCTGAGAAACACACAAAACGTCTGCAGCTGTCATAATGACAGTGCAATACTACGTCAGAAATGTGGTGTGTTTTGATAAACAAAAAAAGGAGATGCATAAAAGTGATGGGATTTTTCCTAAAGACTTCAGAGAATCATATGTTTAAGACAGGATCGTGGCCCTGGCACACTGCCTCAGTCTACAGCCTTGTGACTCCTAATTTAGTTTGGAATGTAAAAGAATGTGGCACACTTATCAAATAAGGTCTAAAAGCTCTGCCAGAAAAACAGCGATACCGCTCTCTAGCTTGGCTTTAGAGCAAGTTCAGACCAAAAGCAGCAATATTACACAGATGTATGCCTTTCAGAACAGGATCGGTTGCATCACATTACAGTCATCTCTTCAATTACACTTACATCTTACATTATACTTACATTTCTAGTGCCATTAATGTAGGCTTTAGAAATGCATGATCCCCTTACAATATTAACTGGAAAAAAACACATGTGACAGCACTGACCTATAAGTAACCTCAGTCTCTAATACATCAACAGAGTCAAAATCTGGATCTGGCCAGCTTTATATCTGGGTAAGGTCAGATATACACAACAGGACCAAAGCCAGCAGGCAGCAGTGTAATGTCACCCACATTAGGCTCCAGGTCAAGTTCCCCTCATGTTCCAGATGAGGAAGGTCCAGCAGTACAGACAGTACATTGAAGCCATACTCAACTACAAGCATTGCTACTTTAGTGAAATAATGACTCAAGTAAAATATCTAACTTGAATTATTGTACAAAAAAGTACTGGATCAAAAAACATGCAAACTTGAACTGCAACAGAAATTCTCATAACATCTACCAGCATCCATCATTATACTGAACAGGTTTGTTAGGTGGATATTTTTCTGTTTTCAATCCACCCTCAAAGTAAATAATGAAGCTCAAAAATCTGAGGTTTGCCCAGTTATAAGCAGCACGGATGCTGTGACATAAAGAAATTAAACACAAAAAATGATTTAGTACTTACATTAATATTAAAAATTTACCCAAATGAAAAGTAGACAGTGTATAATAAAAGTTTTAGCATTTTGAAAATCCTCAGAGATTTAAAAAAATTCTTGTTTGTAAGTATAACTAGTCTGCTGGACGGACACTGATGAAACACAAACGTTACCTCTCCTGCGGGGGGCGCCTTCACCAGCCCTACAACTAAATAAAATTTGCCAGCAATCGCCTACTGGAGAAACTCGTTCTACAAAGATGTGATTTACTTCAGTAGTTATGAATTGCAAATATGAACTGGAAAATGCTTAAAAACAGAAGCCAAAGGCGAAAATGCTCATTAGTCCGCCATGAAAAGCCTTTTGTGGATACAATAATGTGAAGGGACGGAAAGCTGAGATCTTCAAATTAGATGCAAGACTATAAATGGGTGGCACATATGAGGGAAGGATAGTAGGGTCACTGTATCCTGCAATCTAAACAATATTTACACAGAAAACATGAGACCTGCACAGTTTAACGTACATACATCTGACAGTCCTAGCTCACAGCAGTCTGTGACGTCATCCACCGTGTTTCAGCTGTAAACACTGAATAACATCATGTTCCTGGAAAAACAACAATGACAGTCATTTGACTTTATGTTGTTTAAAGAAATACTCTTAATAACTTTTGGTTTAGTTCCTCCTTAACCGTGTTCTCCTGACTACAGGACAGCAACGCTGACAGCTTCAGTTATTACCTGTCACCTTAGTTATTGAGGAAGTTTTTTAAATGGGGGGGGGGCTTAAATTTCTTTGGATAATTTAAAGTGACTGTTTTGGAACTGTTAGGGTTTGTAGAGCCCCCTGCTGAATGCTGCACCGGGGGGAGACCCCGTACACAACCCCACTTCACCAGCAGAAAAAGTGGGGAAAATGGACCCCTCCGCCATGTGGACGAACACAAGCTTTGAAGTCACTACAGCCTTAAGTTAGCTTCTTATTCGAATTCTCCGTTCCACCTTAAACGAGGCCGCACTTCTGCAGTTGCATTCTGGAGCGAATGGAACTGCCGCACCATTTAAGGTGGAACTGGAAAACTCGAAGAAGAAGAAGCCACGTTACTGACCGTGTATTCAAAACGACAACAGTACAAACCTTTTTCAACGAAGTCATAAAGTCAGAAAGAGAGCTCAGACATCCCCGAAACGGTCAGCACTTGTAAATGTTTCCACAGGTCTCACCTCGAGGCTGGGTTTGCAGGACGTAAAGGCGGTTTGTGCTCCAGTCCAGTGATGTTTGTAGCCGTTCCAAACTTGGCAGATACTTCCCACCAGGTTGTGGCTCTTCAGAGAAGTAAGCGTGGTTTTGAAACTTGACAGGTGCTGAGAGAGTACGTGAGGAGTATAAGGGAGGAGTGTCAGGTTTCAGCTCTTTCACTTTTTTAGGACTGCACTCCACGAACTCCGCCCGTGCGCTACTATTCGCTGGAAAGAAACAGGGACCTCCTGTACGTACACGGTACATCAGAAAGCCTCCCGGCACCCCCTAATCAGTGAATTCAGCTACTTCAATGTTTCAGTGTCAGCAGTAGCTGCAGTCATTGTGCACACAGCTTGGGTAATCTCCGTAGAAGCACTGCCCATAGAATAGGACCCTGTGGAGCAGCATATGGTCCTGTCAGTGGCATAAATCCCCCAAACACTGGGCTGCGGAGCAGTCTGCCTACACCGATCAGGCATAACATTAAGACCACCTCCTTGCTCCTTCCTACGCTCATTGTCCATTTTATCAGCTCCACTTATTATATAGGTGCTCTTTGTAATTCTACAATTACAGACTGTAGTGCATCTGTTTCTCTGCATACTTTGTTAGCCCCCTTTTACCCTGTTCTTCAGTGGTCAGGACCCTCATGGACCCTCACAGAGCAGGTACTATTTGGGTGGAGGATCATTCTCAGCACTGTGGTGGTGGTGTGTGTGTTGCGCTGGTCTGAGTGGATCAGACACAGCAGTGCTGCTGGAGTTTTTAAACACCTCTGACTTTACATCTACAAGGTGGACTGACAACGTAAGAGTGTCTAATAGAGTGGACAGTGAGTGGACACAGTGTTTAAAAACTCCAGCAGCACTGCTGTGTCTGATCCACTCAGACCAGCACAACACACACTAACACACCACCACCACGTCAGTGTCACTGCAGTGCTGAGAATGATCCACCACCAAAATAGTACCTGCTAGGATCCATGGGAGTCCTGACCACTGAAGAACAGGGTAAAAGGGGGCTAACAAAGTATGCAGAGAAACAGATGGACTACAGTCTGTAACTGTAGAACTACAAAGTGCACCTATATAGTAAGTGGAGCTGCTAAAATGGACAATAGGCATAGAAACAAGGAGGTGGTCACAATGTTATGCCTGATCAGTGTATGTTCTCTGGAATGATGACGATTCATTAGTACTCGACCTCGTTAATGCTCCTGTGGCTAAAGGCAATCAATTCTTCACAGCAAATGTTCCAGCCTCTAGTGTAAGGCCTTCTCTGAAGAGCAGAAGCTACAACAACTTCCCATTAACACCTGATTGCAGAAGTATTCGATGAGCAGGAGTCTACAGACACGTAGTATATATGCAAGGTCTATTAACAAATAACTACACAAATGCTGTCCCTAGCAGAAAGCTATGCCATTTGATTTGGGGAAAGTATTATCCAAGTCGTATTTTTACTCGCTTTAATGGAGACATCTGATCACGGATCAGAACGACTGGCAACAGCATCAAAAAAAGTTTTCATCATGTTCCAATAAACAAATAAAAAAATACTCAATTAAAATTAATTTGGTGGATCTTTGGCCACAACCAAAGCTCCCACTGGCAGACTTTTATTCAGGTTGATAAAACATTCTCAATCCAAATTAAAAATTCACAGAACATCTGTTATTGCAAACAGAAGTGAGGTCACATTTGAATGACTTGCTAAGACTTATGTATGGCACACAACCAAGGAGAAAGAAGTGCTATCTGAACTGCAGCACATGGGAACATTTCATGAAGAGTTTTAAAAGGTTCCTGCAGTTAGTAACCATTACGATAATGCAGTCTGGGTCTTTGCATTGGAAATGGAACACGTGAGCTGTAAGAACTGGCTCCTAGCTGAACTGATTTCAATATAAAAAGCAGGAGCAGAGAGTCTCACACAGCAGACAGAAGCAGTTCAAGCAGATCTTTAAAGACACCACTGGAAGCCCACCTCCGTATACAATGACAGGCTCTTCTTCACATTGGACCAGCCACCTGAAATGGACCAGCACCTTGCGTAGATTAATCAGCACTCCTATGACTGTTCTTCTGATTGAGATCTATATAGTTTCCTTCTAGACAAGCACCAAGGTCTGTGTAAATTGCCTCAAAACAATCCACCATAGATTACAGCCAAACACCACAGCACTGTAATCTCAATGTGGGGTTACATCGGTATAGCCAGCTGAATAACAGTGTACCCCTCAGCACAGGGGGGAAAAAACAGCAAAAAAAACTCCCATCCCACAGACATGTACAATATCCACAATATATACACGGAGCAGACAGTGAAAGAGTCCGTTTGAGTCATGGCTCCTAGGGCGCTGTTCCTCTCATTTACTTTCCAGCAGTGTCTTTATGTCTTTAATTCCATGTTCTGATGCAACAGCGATTACATGATTAAGAGCATTGAGGCGACCCAGGACCTTCACCACTTCCTTAATGTGCTCCCTGAGCAGAAGAAAAAGAATAACAGCATGAGGCCTACTGTGTTGGACACCTTCAAAACTGTACAGTGACCAAAGAGACATCCACATATTCACCTCTAAATACCAGGAATTCAAGTAAAGGCCCTTTTCAACAAAAGCTGTCAATTATAGCAGCGTTTATGTACAAGTTGGTGGTGTATGATGCACATATTTTCAGGTTCAATACCGTTTCCATTGGTCTAAGGTCTAGACTTGAATTTCAAAATTTTGTGCTAAACATGAATCAATTTTTACACATTTCCAGTTATACACCACACAGAGGAGTTTCGCTCAGATAAAGTTCTAACTCTTTTCTGTGTCTGCAATGCCATCTCTTACACAAAATTATTCCCAAAAACTCAAACTCCTGGAATTTATACATGATGCAATTTACAATTTCAATAGTTTTGAATGTATTTTTTTATTTATCAATATTGAAATCGTTATTATCAAATTAGTTAGAATATTTGCAATGTACAGAAATCAAATACACATTTTGTGTGTACCACATCCATTTAAGGCTTCAAAGATTTAATGTGAAACAGGTGTTAAATTATAGATACCTGGCACTCCTCTTATCCACATCAGAAGCCGTGAGGCTGGAGCGGTACAGTGAGCTGGCCAGGTGCTTCATATATCGGCACAAGTTCTCCAGTTCTGGCAGAGTCTGCTGGCCCTTCAGAGTGCTGAACCAGTGCACAGGGAAACATTCCACCACCTGGGGGCAGCAGCAAGCACAGATCATTTCACAAGTTGGGAGTAATAACACTGGTCATAAAATATACAAGCTTATCAGTTAAGTAAGGAGTTTGATATGGTAGAGTTTGCCCAGCATGTGAATGCAAAGTTCGTACCCGCTGACATTTCTCCACACTGTCCTCTCCAACGTCTGCCATCTGTAGTGCTGAAAGAATGTAGCGGTTTAGTGTGCTGTCAATAGCAAGCTCCTTCAGAATATTCTGAGACAGGATGCCATCCCACTGCAGGATGTTTCCCAATAGCTGCAGACAGACAAGGAGACAAAGACAAAAAGACAAAAGGAGACATTTTGTAAGTGCAGCAACAGGAAAATGAGAAGAAGAAAGAATATGAGAAGACTAACTATTAAAACAAGGATAGCCGTTTTGGGTATATAAATGACAGTTAAATTAAACTAGTGCTTGTCTTCACAATATGAGCTGTCAAAAATTCTACTCTACTCAAATCATCTTCATCCTGAGGGTCTGGATGAGATACTGTGGCTAAAGAATGAACGTAAAGAGATGTAAGAAAGAAAGAAAGAATGGATAGAAGCCAAAAGGTGTGGATTCACCTTACCTTCACACATGACCAGAACTGTCTCTGGGAAAATAAATACGGACCAGAATTCTTGTTTTCCATGACACTGAAGGAGAAAGAGAATCAAAAGAAAACATCAGCCATTATATTAAAAGTCAGACATTAAGTATTTTAAGTGTTATTCTAGTAGACTAATAAATTAGAGGCACAATTTGCATGACATCCATACTTTCCATAACATACTTTTTTGGAAACAGTGGCATGAAGACGTCTTCATCTAGGGAGCGTCGTGTACGGATGACGATGGTCCTCAGCAGCTCCTGCAAACACAAACATCAGCTTAATATCTGCCATAATTAACCATAAATTTAATATGCCTTAAATGAACCTTAAATGAAGTTAAAAATGCTCTCTTCCAACATGTTACAGTTTTGTAACCCAATAATCCTGACCTGTTATAAACTTTGAAGTTTAATGTGATCATTAGTTTAAACCATTTAATTCTGTCAAATTACTACTAATATTCAGCAAAAGTTGCCTGATGTTACAATTCGGTACAATTTGTGGCTGTTGTAACATTACAACTTTCTAAAGTGAAAAGGAAAATGAAATCACAAAAAGCATTCTTAACCTTAATGTACAAATGTAGCAATGCTACTAAAAGTAATGTTGGACCATTTTTTTGAGCATTTTTTTTTCCAAATGGAGTTTGGGGGGAAAAGGGACAGGTTGATCTTTGTATTATGGGCCTCTGGATCTGTCGCTCTGTTCTTGCTGAAACAGAGCTGGCTCAGGGCTCTAACCTGTGTGTTGCGGTTCTCCCCGTGCAGTACAGTGGGGTAGCCTTTTATCAACCGCCGCATAAAGGCCACCAGCCTGCAAGTCTCACTGCGGGACAGCGGGTCCCACACCTGATCCGCCAGCACTGAGAAAAACAAAAGCCATCACAAGAGAAACAACAATAACAGTGAACTACACTGCACTACAATTTCTTTTTGATTTTAACTGATGCACTAAAGTCACTTCCATCACACTGGACCCACCTGCAAGTTTGGGGAGGATTACCCGCTCGATAATGGCAGGCAGCAGGCCGGTATCAATGTCTTCTTCATGTGTGTTGGTCTGCTCCTCACAACCGTAGAACAGCAGAGACTCAAACCATAACATGTACTCAAAGTTTGGGCAGTCGTCCTACAGACAACAGACACTGCAATTACCTCCTCTAATCCAAATTACTTAGACATTCACTGAACGCAGGTCATTCACATCACACTTTTCCTCAGTAGTTTTAAAATTACCCATTTCAGTCTGTCTGCTAAATATTATTTAACTAGGCTGAAATCTGTCAGAGTAAGAAAGCCAGCCATACCTCCAGAGGGGACCAGGGAATGAGTTGCAGCCGGATAAGGGGGTTGAATAGTTTAGGCAGACACAGACCGATGTAAGCGTCTCTATAGCATGTAAAGTAAAGCTTCCTCCACACCTCAAAGCGAGACTTGATGCAGTCCAAGGAATGGAAATCCTCTATCACATCTTCAAATGCTTTCTTTGATTCCTTCAAAATGCGATCTAGTAAAGAGGGGGAAAAGAAAAGAATGAGACAAAACTTAATCAGGGCAAGAGCAACCAGCAATGGCCACAGGAGCATTAAGAGGCTTTTCAAGCATGCACATCTTTCCATGTCATAAAGACACACACACACAGAGCAGGTGAAGGGGAACACTCACATTAGTATGAGGTTAGACAAGGTCATACTTAAATGCATTTGAATTTATAATCTGAGTGGTTATTTGTGTTTTTAAACTATCCTTTATGGTCAGAACATGACAAACACATCTTTCATTGGACAGTGGGAGAAAGTTTCTGGTTAGTTGTTTTTACCAGTTGAAAAAGCAAGGCCGCAATTTTTGTAACATTCATAAATGAGGAAAGAAAACAGACTATTTGATCTGTCTGGTGACGAGTGCTAAACTGTTTAGTTTTTCAATGTCAGCTTAGTACAAACAGCAAATATTAGCTTGCTCGATATATCAGTGATGGATCACACCGCCTTACTGCCATCACTTCTACCACATCCATGTCAGAGCATAGCACAGTATTCAAACACCAGCTAGCAGACGACTGGATTTCTCTATTTGATCATAGTGGTCTGGAGGTTAGAAGAACCACACCAGACAAACAGAGTCTTCCTTTTCGGAACGATTAAACTGAAATCGGTGTCTTTTTTGTCGTTTGATCTATAGTAACATCAATTTGGCCGTGCTGTGCAATGACAGAGTGCTGCTTCAAGTTAGCCAGCTGCTGAAAAGAGCTAGCCTGGGAAGCTAGCGTTCTTCTGTTCTCCAATGCCTCACAGCTTCCTCAGTTTACTTTCATTTAAGTCAGTGCTGTATCTTGCATGAACCCACTTCTTTCTTTCACTTTTGTTGCTTGGGAATGCACTAATACTAAAATATGACTGACTGAGTGCTGTAACAGCGCTGGAGTTGTGATGAGCAGACGTGATTTAACACCGCTAAAGCCCGCTAGGATGTTAGGAGAGAGGTGAGTTCGCCGTAGGACAGTACAGTTATGGCCCTTATCTCATCACTCACACTTGGTCACTGATCTCACTCAAACAGGGAATATACAACTCCACATTTCGGACGGTGCAAAAGTATATTTGACAAGTCATTTTACATCTCAACTCCCCACCTCTCTAATCATGTAAAACTCTGAAGTGCGCCCTCTTGTGGCGACAGCAGAGTAGTGTCGCTTTCCTTGCAGTAGGAAATTCCACCAGGGCTGTCGGTATAATGCGGGAGTGTGAGAATGCTCTGTTATATTGAACATGTCCATGCTTTTTCAACATGACAACAGTTAGCCATTCTGCACTTACAATGGCTAGACTGGCTGCACATCAGAGAATGTATATGCTAGGCTGACCTGCCTGCACCCCAGAACTGTCTCTCATCAAACACATGCATCTTATTAGACTCAAAATATGACAACAGATGACCAGTACGGTTGCACAGTTGAAGACTTGTATAACTAAACAAGGGTGAAAAATTGTGCTTTCAAACCTGGATTGATTGGTGTCTTCAATCCCCAAACAATTATTAATTTATTGGAGGGTACTCCTATTTATAGTAGATCGTGTCGCAATCCAGCACCATATTACATCTTCACAGAGGATACAGCTGTGCTGCTGACTCCAAACTATCCAGATTAGTCCAAATCAGACTGTTACCTCTCTCTAGGTTAAAGCTGGTTATGTCTGTGGAGGTCTCCTCGTCATCGCTGGACAGCCCCTCTTTGTGTTCGGTTCTTTTCCCACTTTGTTCTCGAGCTTGTCTGCGGCGTGCTCTGCTCAAACCCCAAACATAGACCACACACACTCAATCTGTAACTTATAGCTGATCTGCATTAAACTGAAAACAGGGAAAAGCAATTATATTTCAAAGTTCCTGTCTACAACATGTGTAGTGCAGTGTGCCATACCTCCTGGCCTCACGCTCTGCTACCCTCCTCTGTTTGCTAAGCTCCTGATATGCTGCACGGTCTCGTCCGAAAGGGTCCAGATTAGGGGCCATAACAGCCTTACCTACAACAGAAAGGAGCCAGATCAACCTCCTAGACTATAGGAACTCATCAGCCCTACAAGAGTCCTATAGTGTTAGCACTGCAAAGTCGTACTCTATCTATATGCACATAATCTTCAAAGATTCAAAGATTACACTGATATATCAATTTTTGTCCCCTAATTCAGATTTGAGATAATTGTTAAGAGGATAAATGTGTTCAGCAATGAATGTACTGCACATGAGCTTTAAAATCTGTGGAGCGTGTTCACATCTTGTGTCATGTAATCTGTATTAAAAGCTAGCTATTAATTCACATCATGTAATCTGTATTAGAATCTAACTTCCCCAACCCCCACTGCCTGACTCATACTTACAGACGTCACACCTTAGCAACGCTTCAGATGTGACAGTATCACACTGGCTCAGTCAATTCTCACAAGAGAACTGAACACATTTTCATTTCAGAACACAAAGCTCACAGTCTCCTTCATACATACACACACACAAACTCTCACACAAATAAAAGGCTGAGTAGTAACTGTGTCAATTAATGAGCAGTAAAGAGTGTATATTAACACTTTCACAATGTTAAAGAATGTATATGTTTAGCTGTACTAGCAGCAGCACAGCAGGCCTAGACAGACAGGGTTGTAACCAAGTGTGGGTGCTATCGTACAACAGAAAAAAAAATGAGGCCATTCAAATAAATTATAAAAACCTTCAAGATGGACTGACTTGAAAGGCTTGAAAACTCCGCCGATTCATCTTTAATATCATCCTGTCTTCTCTGGACGCGCCGCACCGCCCGTTGCCTTAGTAACTGGTGCATGGCAGCCTCCAGCTCCAGAACAGCAGGCACCTGAAAGATATGATGGGTTCTGTGATGGCTGCTCCCAGATGAGCGGTGGGAGAGCGAGAGAGAGAGAGAGAGAGAGCGAAAGAGAGAGAGAGCACACGAGTGCTTCTGGGCCTTGGTGCCTTTTTACTGAGGCACAGGAGAGCATAGTTACAGCCAACTTATCCATCAGTGAAAACAGCCCAGCCAAACTGGCTTTTGGTTGTGTTTACATTTGGCATTAACATATGATCACCACGATCCAGTCACGGTAATGGGATCATTATCCAACAGATAAATCAAGTCCTTTTGTTATGTTGTAATTAGTATCATGCCCATATCAGGAACTAGATTTCTCAAAAAAATGAATGAGATTTTTGAAATTTGCCTCTATCGCTCCCGTGGTCCTAAAATGATTCTTAACCTAGTATGTTTTGTCCTACGTCCATTTTTCCTCTAAGGGTCACTGGATCCTCTGAATTACAAGATCGTTAAGGAGTTGATATGTTTTTGTCTGCATGCGAGCTGTGATGCCCTGAATTGACATCCTGAGACTGGCAACCTCACCAAAACACTCCATGTATACCAGCAAGCTTTTTCCAGTGTGGTAGTTACGCTGATTTGGCAGCAGTAGAGCAAATTTGGAGTAGCAGAGGAGTGGCAGCTTGCTGTTAGCATGGAGTTCTTACCAACCTCATAATACAGAGGATACAGCGACATTCATTGGAAAAATGCATGTAGAACAAAACCGATAGTCTGGAACCTTTTTAGGGATCTTTTTATTTACCACAAACTGACATTTTCAAAAAAACATTCATTTTTGTCATAGAGAAAACCAGCTTAGGCCCAAAATACCTAATAAGGGCATGAGACCAAGTACAGAATAAAGCAAGACTGCAGAGTTCGATGAGGACACAGTGCATCTAAACTTGCCCTGTTAGAATGTAGCTCTGCATTCTGATACTGATCGGATGTCATTTTCTGGCAGAATATTTAAATCAGACTACAGTGGCACTTGTACAGAGTCAGCCCATGTAGGCTATGCTGCGTTTGCACATTCTAGGCATCTGAAGTTACAGGGAGAGGGTGGGGAGGAAAAAAAAAAAAATGAATAAATGAGTCATGTATGCTTTCTAAGCAGCCAAAACTAAAACAAGTAAAAATCTTTTACATACATAAGCAAAATAATTACTATTAAGTTAAAAAAGGAGGTGGAAAAGTCATTTAAAGATGTGGTTAGAGATTACGCGCAGATCCTATCACAATAAGTGGCCAACTAACTAGCCAAACAGTTAGACGCAAACACATTATGCTCACACAGTTTTGAGACATCTTTCAAATATGAGACATTTCAATGCCAAGTGTAAACAGGGCCTTTGTATCAATGCTCATTGTACATTTTGACCACAAACGGAATGATATGGATAGATTTAATTTGCGTATGTATGACTACTGATTGCTGTGCCCCAGCAAAGGCACCTAAACACCGTAATATGTCTTCATGCATCCCTTTTAAAGCTGGAATTAAAGACATGCTGTTAAACAGGTGCTTCAGGGAGCACTGCTGAAGAAGGAATACTCGCTGCCCTGCTCATAATCCAGAACTGCTGTGGTAAAAGGAACTGCAGGTTACTGACATCACACTGAAATGATACCAGCGCAGAGCCTGAGCAATTGAAAGGTTAGCCAAGTGATGACCCTAATTCTCAATTCAAATGTCCCTGATAGAGATGTAATTTTACAATTACTTCAACACAGAGCTTGTTATCCATCAATAAAACTACTCACTACACAGGAAGGATAAAATACCACAAATATAAAACTGATGACAAATCACACTTATCACATAGCAAAACTCAGCAGTCAGGCTAACGCAAAAAGAACAGCTGCTTAGTTTTTTCTTACCTTTTCACTGAAACACTCAAGCAAGTCTCGGACATACCCTCGCATTTCTTGCAAGAATTTGTACTGCTCGGCAGCGTGCTGCGAGGATTCCTCCAGCTGCAGGATACTGCTGTTGGAGGCCTGCAGCTCCTCTTGGATCTGCTCGTAGCGCCGGGCACTGGCATCGCGGCCCTGGCGCATGGAGCTCAGCCTGGCACACAGGACACATGCATCAGCACCCACTCCCAGAGAAAAGCACCAGACATGCCTGCCTGCACCTACTCCTTCTACTGACTCACGTTCAAAGGGTCTATATCAGATAAGTGTTGGGAAAAGTGTTGCTTAGATAAGTGTTGGAAATGAGCTCTGCAGGCCAGTAGAACTCCAGGAGCAGGATTGGGCACTTCTGGTCTAAATAAAGTAGGCCTGCAAAGAGTAGCCGCCATCAATGAGTTTGACAGAAGTAAGAAACACAGTTGGAGACTACGTTACTGAAATCCAAACTGTAATCACCTGCAGACAATTCAGCTAAACCCAGTTCTCCCTAAATGAAAACATGAGCAGAGAGGAAAAACCCACTGACACAAAGTGGGTGATTCCACAATCATTAAACTTTACCCATCAGAGACCAGACTGCTCTGATTCAACGTGCAAATGGTATTGGCAAGTCGCGCTCATGGACCAGGACTAAGTCAATGATATATTTAAACACTGGGCTTAAAACGCATTGGAACAGAAGAGAAATCTAGCTGCATTTCACTCAGCGTGGGTGTTGGACTCAGCTGGGTTGGAAAAAAGGTGGCTTGGGAAGCGGGAAAGAGAGATGCTCTGAGCCTACCTGTCCGTGAGCCGTTTCTTTACCAGAGCTGTGGTGATGGGGGTGAGGCTGCTGCTTGGGATGGGGTAGGGCACTGAGCTCTCAGTCTTCACTGACTTGCTGCTGTCTACCCCAACCGCAGCATATCCGTAAGGCATGCCATAGGACACTCCATATGGCTGGCCCTCATATCCACCTTGGTAGTACATGTTTGCATCTTCTGGTTGGCTGGTTTGGACCTATAGAAAAAGGAAATACATTGTGGTTAAATTGTACTGATGGATGTGCTGCAATTAACTATCATATTTACTGATCATTCCTTGTAAAACTATTGATTTTTCATTACTGATTCCATCTTGTATCTACAGTAAGTCTGGGCAATAGGGCGATGTAACTGGATATAGAGGATGACAGACGAGTAACCCAATGACGATGTGTAAAAGGATTTACCCTGTGTCCTTTCACCTTCTACTTATTTTCCTTTACGTTACGTTCAATAAATGGAACCGAAAATAAATGCTGACGTGCGTGCTTGTTTCAGCGTGACTAGTTGCAGTAAAGTAACCATGCTAAAGTGACCAGAGATTACCCTAGAGCAGCTAGATCTAACCTGGAGAAAAAAATTCCTCTGATCCCCATCTACAGCCTGGAAACGGGATCAGAAAAAGGTAATATTACATAATAGGTACACCATGTCTTCTTCACTTTTACTGTTAAAATACAGAGGTCTAATGTGGCCTTTAAAAGGCTATGGTAAAGTCCCCACTGTCTCTGCTGCATGTGAATTACTGAGTATTCTCTGTACAGCCCAAGCGTCCCGACAGTTATGTAACGACAAAAACGTCTTGGTTTTTAAATATGTGTAGCGCATCAACATTCTATAGACCATCAATAGACCATTTAGCCTTATAGACTAGTAGTGAACCTGCACATTAAAATGCCTATTAAAAATTATTAATAATAAAAAATAATAATAATAATTATCGAACCAGGAACTTTAACTTACTTCCTTACCAACAAAAGCATTTTTTTTTATGTATGCACATATCTGACACGACCACAATCAAAAAAACACACTTTTGAGTCTGGCCCAAGGTCCTGCCCACAGCAGTACTGAATCACTGAAACATTGATGACCCATTGAAAGCAACCAAACACACTTATGTCAGTCTCATTGTCCCACTCTCAGTTCTACTGAACTGGTAAAATGCGGAGAATGTTTCAAGCAAATCTAATCAAAAGTGCCTTTCAGTGTTTGGAAATAATGTGGAAATGAAGCAGTGCCTGCATTCACTTCCACAGTGAGAAGAAAGGTAAGAACATGCTGAGGTTGAACAATGCAGTTAGAAAAAAGCAAAATGAGCTCGCACACCCTCTGAGATGACGACTGCCGTCAGTGTATTTTTCACACAGTTTTGTCTGATGAACTGATACACCCTAGCCAGACAAATGTGATTCGTGCATGCAGCTCAAACCCAGCTGAAGACATCACATTTGTTTGGTGAGTGAGTTTTCTGTGGATGGGAGCAAACAGGGCAGACCTGAACTGCTTCTTTAGGCTAGTAGTTTAAACATGTTCAGAATAATAACAATACTGCACAATTGCTGATATTTATTGCAAGTGTTTTGCTGGGATTACATTTACAGTTCATGTATTGGGTTAGTTTAGGCTTTATACAATTTTTGTAGCCTGTATCTAGACTTTCTTGCTTGCACCCCTATACTGAAAAGGCAATCTCTGCCCCTGATACATGTCCTTTCAACACTATATCACTGACTCATACTAGATATTTCTTCTATATAAAAACTTGTCAATAACTGTATATGTATAATTTTTTTTATTTAAATCTTTTAAATCTTCTTACCTCTTATGTGTACACAGTTATGAAAGGCAACAGATCATTTTTGTGCAACTGGGTTTTCTTTGACTGTATGTGCATTGTATGTGCATAAAATTAAGTGCATTAAATGCAATGCAGATGGATGCATTAAAAAAATTCAAATTGTAGTGTAGGCCCCAAATATCAGTTAGCAGTGTTCTTAATTGCTAATAATCAAAATTGGTATCGGCCCTGAAAATAAATTGCATCTGTCCACTCCTGCTGCACATGTTCACAGAATCACAGACGAAAAAATATAATTTTGCCTTCAAGCAATTTGTCTGAATGTAAGTGAAGTGTGGGAAGCTCACCTGTGGGATGCTTATGCCCTTCCTGATCTGCTCCTGTTCCCAGCGACTGACTTCCTCATCATTACCTTCAGTATCCAGAGCCTCATCATCACTGCCCTCGATACCTGCAGCATCACAGGGATTATATTCTTTGGTTTGTGATGGGGCGTATCAGAGAACTCAAGATGCTACTATAAAAACTCCTAAGGAAACTACATATATTCAAACACAAACACTCATCAGCCTCAACACTTTAACTTTAGAACCCATGAGTATTTAACAAAATTCATACATTTGTAGACATGTAAATCAATCTCTTGAGGCATTACACAAACATTACACTCACCAATCTCCTCTGCAATTTTTTGCCGCTGGCTCTTCTGTGTGACCCCACTGAACACAATCCTCTTCTCGTCTTCATCGCTTCCCCCCTGCTCATCCTCATGGACCAGCCGTTTATTTGCTACCTCCGTTTCCACTAGTGGGGGTTCTCCTCCAAGCTCACGGGCCATCTGCCGCCGTTTACGGGCAGCGTGAATGAAGGCTGCATCTGGGATCTCACCTGTGGGAAGAGCAAGACCACCAAATGAAGCAACATCCTAAATGTTTAGAAAACGACATCCTAAACACAAGCCTGCAGATTCCACCAGAAACAAACCTGGTCTGAGGGAGCTGAGAGCAGACAGAGTCTGAGAGAAAGCTCCTCCACCGCTAGACTTTGCGTCACTCTCGTCCTCCAGTTCTTCATTGCTGTCCACCTCCATCTCACCTTCGCCCTGTTCACTGCTACCTCTGCTGTCTGCTGGCTCATTTTTAACTCCTGTACTAGGCAGACTGGGCACACCTACAGCAAACACAACAACAGTACAGACGTATATACACGCAGCAACCACAGTGACAGTTTATGTAAGTTTAACACATTTAAAGAATAAATGCATGACTAAGTTTAGCCTGTCTTACACACCATCAAGACGCGTGGTTACTTCCTGAGCCACATAGATGCTTTTCTCCTCTCTGTACTCCTTCTTGAGCTGCTTGACAATCTTCTTACTATGGTTCGACTTCTTCACTCTGAAAACCTCAGTGTCCTCTGGAAATAGACAGAAAATGTTTTACAATAACCTAAAAGCACTGAAGCAATTACACAAAAAACGCCTGAAAACTGCAGCTGAAGGAATAAAACCATTTTTGACTACATATTTTATGGAAACAAAATAGCTAACCTAGGTTATGACAACCGTAGCGTAGCTAAATCACTTCAGTGAGGTTAGCTAGCCAGGAAGCTAGTTATAAACTAACGTTAGCTAAAAAGCATTTTCTTGGTTAAGAAGAAAAACAGAGATGGGTTACGTGAAATAAGCCTGTTCCACTGTAAAAATACCAACGGTTGCGCCTTTAAAACATAACATGACCGGATAACATGTGGTCTGCGCTGGCTAATGCCAGTTAGCCAAGTTAGCTCGTTAGCCGTTTAGGTCCTACTCTACCTTCGTCGTCGTTAAAGCTGAGCAGGCTGGCTTTAGGCTCTTCACGGCTCTCCTTCTTCTTTTTCTTCTCCTTGACAGTCTTCACAGCGCCGGCCTGAAAGCCGTTTCCGTGGCTGTTGACAGCGTTGCTTTCCCCGCCAGCTGCAACGGCTGCCCCCGCTGCAGGCCCGTACGGCGCCGGCTGCTGCTCCGCGCTCTGGAGCTGCTCGGTGTGGATCTCGTCTTTCTCTTCATCTTCCGAATCATTCCGCCGCCTGAAATTACACCTTCTCGCCTTTTTAAACATCACGTCTCGTCCACCAGCGGAACAGGCGGGCTAGTGTGGGTTATTTGTGCGAGGCGCCAAAACACAGGAACACAGGCTGCGGCTCCCAACCCTCACCATCTTACCAACGAGCTAGCTGAGCTACTTCTTACTCGACAACAGCTCCGAGAAGCGTGCGAGGCAGCCGCCTCAGTGCTGCCATCTGGCGGAGAGCTTAAAATAAAATAAAAGTTGGAAATGCGTGGAAAATTCCGTGTCAATAAATACAGTGTGTCCCAAAAAATTGACATCAGTTGACATGTGAATATCTAACTACATGTCCTAGGCAAACGAAATTAAATAGGCATGTAGGATGTAGATTTTATAACCGATTTTATAAGCTTCACAAATGTAACATCTTCCGATACTGGTGGTCGTCCAGATCCCTTTGCCCTTCACAGACAGCCTTCCTCTTTGAATTTTTTTGTGCCATGTCCAAATCTGCTTTCCAGTTGGTGCACTTTTATTGAATGTTCTCGAAAATGCACGCTGCACACTCCTGTTTGACTGTGTTCGAGCATATTCTAACACACAAAATGTCTTTTCATTTCTAGTGAAGGCCATTCTTCAACCTGAAAATAAAATATTAAAAATGAAACCTGGTTAGTTTTTACACATTTTGTTAAAATTTTAGATCATTTGAGGGAGAATTGGCTGTTATTAGATTACGAAATGATGTCAATATTTTTGGGACACCCTGTAAACCATGATTACTATACACAAACAATACACTTATATACATATAGGACAAATATATGAATTAGTAACAAATATGTAAATAAATTAATACATGTGAAATAGACTTAGATTTTATGGCATATTTCTAAATGTATTTATTTTTATATGTTGGCAGGAAATATATCCTATTATTTCCTATTTTATTTCATATTTTTAAGTCTTTCATTAATTTTTATTCATTTACCAATCAGATAAATCCATGTGATACACAGAATAATAGAACGAAACAAAACTTTACACTTTAATGTATGCATATTCTACTGTTCACTTCATTCCATGTATGCTTATACTTTTACACAGGGGTTGGGATTTAGGCGGTGAGGGGAGCCCTGCTTCTTTCATGGGTGCAGACCAAATCACAGGTGTTTAGTATGCAGTATCCTCCTATTGTAAGGATCTACAGTGTATAGACCGCGTTTATATTTAGAATGTAAAAGCCATGACTGTATAGTATGTATGTAATTCTATTTACAACCTAGTATTTATCTATAGTATGCAGTATTATGTGGTCTGCATCAGGGTTTTTATAGTTAACTAAAACTATCACTGAAAACTGCTTGTTAACTGTGATAAAAATAAAAAAAAAACAGTTTTCAAAAACTAAATCAAAACTATGGTGTCCACTGCAAATTACAACAAAATGGAATTAAAAAAATAAAGTTTTTGTTTTTTTAGTGTGTAAAAGTGGATCCCTTTTGTGTTTGGCTGTCTTTAAAGGGAATTTTCTAGTGCTTTTTCCAAATTTCTGCATAATTCAGTAATTGAGATGTGAACAAAGTCATTTAGAGTGGTTTGATATAAAATTATTCATTGTAGACAAAACTTGCCAACTTAGATTTCTTTACAGTGGTATTGATAGATGATGTACACAAGTCAAAAATGTTATTTTATTTACAATTCAAAACCTCCAGTGAACCTGCATGTGTGTTTTGATATGTTTATATGTGTTGGTGATAATGGTAACATCTAATGGTAATCTGGAAAAAAAAACTTTTTTTGGGGGGGGGGCTATTTTGCCATACACCTAACCCTCCATTTAAAAATATATATATTCTTAAAGCAGAGATAAGCCCAGTCTACTGGTAATTTTATTCTACCCTTATCAAACACCTACTATTACAGTGTTCGTCATAACACTAAAAAGTAAAACAAAATGAAAAAGAAGGAAACTAAACTTTCTTTTTAGAAAATAAAAATGCACACATAAAGCTAACTGAAGTTAGACTGAAAGCAAAAACAAATAAAATTACAAACAATCTAAACTATAACCCCTGTAAGCATGCATATACATTTTAGATATATATATATATATATATATATATATATATGAACAAAAAATAGGGATGCATAAGCAAGTTTTTAAACAACATTGTTATGGAAAAAAGTGTTCAAACTCCACAGATTAATAACTTCAGTACTTTGTTGCAAAGTCACTGTTGGCAATTACAGCTTAAAGACTTCTCACAGTAAAAATTGATTATATTCTCCTCTAATATGTCCCAGTATATCGCTTCATTCATGTGTCCTTTGATGACGTGTAATGCCCCAGTACCATTTACAGAGAGTCAAGCCCATATCATGATGCTCCCACCACCATACTTCACTGAGTATGGTGTTCTTGGGATCACATGTGCAATCCTTCTTTCTCCAAACATAGCGAGCTGAATTATTGCCAAAGAGATCTGAACCAAAAGAATTTGTTCCAAAATGTAACTGTCAAAACTTTGTCCTAGTTCTTTTTTTAGTTTTAGCCACAAAAAAACACAATACCAGATCAACTGTACCTCAATACTGACTGTGGCAAGAGGGGAGAAGTTGTGATGTAAAAGTGTAACTGTCTGCATCACAGTAGGAACTTCACACAGAGAAATAATCAGTTTGATCAGAAAAGCATTTCCATATTTTCAATAAGCTGAAACAGGACACCCCTCTGCCCCAAGATGTGTTTAAAGTCAAAATTCCATCAGAATCGCCCCTGTTTCTTCTAGCTGTATGGTTTAGTGAATAGACGGTTTAGTGGCTTGAAAATTGAGTTTATTTTGAAGGTATTCTTTTGGAAAGTGCTGTAGAGCTTCCATTTGAATGTCCTTGAGCATTTTTGTGCTTCTTCTGCATTTCAGACAGATGCTGTGACTTGTGGTAGCTCTCTTTATGGTTTACCATTGTATTAAAAAACCATAAATTATAACTTAAAAATGCTAAATGACATAATTGGCCTACATTTCCAGTGGGAGGGGAAAGTTAGGAGTGACAAACAAACTGATCAACATAGAACCACACACACACACACAATATGGAAGAACCACTACAAAAACTGGACAAGTGACAGTCAAAACAGGACACCCAGACACACAGCCTGCGAACCAGACTGTCTGGGTGAAAATAGGGGGCAGGTGGCAACACTAGATCACAAACACCCAAGACTACACAAATTCATTACACAAAGCATTAGACACGGAAACAGATTGAGATCATGCTAAAACAAGTTATTACAAGCAACTGAGAAAAGCTTGTTTACATAAAACAGTTCAAAAGAGCTGGCTATACAAACAAAGGAAAAAAGTAAGCCATTAAATATGACTTAAGCACACTACGGTTCCAGGACCACAAAAGCTATGCAAGCTTACAAAGCAAAGCAAAATGTACACAGGTAGCATACAGGATACAGAGATGAGTCTCCACCACCAGGGGAACTAGCTTCCAGAAAGGAGGCACTCAGCTCCTACTATAATTACAGAGACAGATAAATAACAGGGACAAAGTTGGACAAAGTCAGATTAGTTTGACATCAAAATAATCATTTAAAGTCAAAGAAAAATCAAAGACACACTGTCACTGATGCGAAGCAATGCTCTTATAGAACATCAAAAAATTGGACGGCTAATGGCACCCCCTCGTGGAGATTTCAATCTGCTAAATGTGACTGAGTAAGTGAGTGGGTGAGTTACAAGCCAGTTCCATAAGGCGCTTCACTTCTAAAAATGCCCACCATCTGGTAAGACAATACAGTGAAGACACCACAGTACTAAGGCTGTATTGATTACTATACAGTGAATAAAAAAGTAAAAAAAAAAGTACGCTCAAAACTGTGTATCAAGATTTAGAACTGTACAGCTGATATGCTCTTCCATTTCTTTCAAGGGTCTCTCATTTGCCATCTTCCATGGAAACCATGAAATATGAAAAAAAAGCAAAACAGTCACTTAGATACAGTTACTTCCTATTGTCAGACAATATATTTTATACATATATTTACTATACTAAGGGAATGTTTTTCCTGTGTGGTCTCAGGAAATCAACATATGAATTTCAAGTAACATTTTACTAGTGGATTGATGCACAAGGCTTCCTTTATTGTTAGATACACACAGTGCAAGAGCTCAATCACAGCACAATTCAAAGCACTTATTGATTTGTTTATTCAGAGTAGCGATAAAACGTGTGACTTATATTGATGTGTTTTCTTGTTTAAAAAGACAGTTTGGGACGTAAACTAAAAAATCTATGAATTTTCAGCTTTATTACTTCAGGTGCATTACATGTCAAATAACTGCAACAACAGTCGGGAGAAACCACGTTGTTAACATAAGGAAAGGAGATTAAGCAGACATGACCATGATTTTGTACCAGCCTTAAAGGGCTACTGCCTCTAAAAGCTACTTCAGAGATTTAAGTTTCTACACTTTATTGTTACGTATACACTGCCTGATGCCCGAAACACTGTTCTGACTATGGTTTTGAGATACGGTTTTCTCCATTCATGGTGGAGAGGTACATGAAAGGCACTGTAAGGCAAAATAGAAAGAAAAGTGTTTTTTTGAGATTTACCACTACTGAACCTTTATAAACGTCGTTAAAAAAATGTTCATGTAGATGTGGTTGTTTTGGATAAATGAAATTGCTACATTTGTGTTCACCATTCTGAATGACTTTGTGTACATGTCAACTATTTAATTACACAGAAATTTAGAAATTTAACATTAATTTAGAAAATTAAGAAAATTAATGAAATTCCCTTGTGGCTGAGGGATACTGCCACTCATAGAATGCCTCTCAGCCAATCAAGTTGCGAGACTGAAACTAATAACGGTATAAATGTGACAAATGTGATGTTGATATTTCAATTTATTTTGCAATCTATTGTTTTGAAATGACATTTCTATTTTTCTGAGTAGTGTACAGTATATATAATACAACCTTATTTCCAAAAATGTAAATAAAAACAGAGTGCAATGCTGTGCAGGTCATTTGCACACTATATTCAACCCCTTAAATGGCCAGGGCCTGCCGGGATAGAATAGGCCTAAGAAAAGCTCAGCCAATTTGTCCCTCTAGTTACTCAATAACAAGTCTTATGATGTAATTAGCCTGGGATTTTAAGGAGTTAACTGATGCAATGCAATAATGTTCACATCATTTAAACCCTGCATTTCATTGAAAATAGTACAGACAACATGTCAAATGTTGAAACTGAGAAATTGTATTGTTTTTTGGAAAATATATGCCCATTTTGAATTAGATGCCAGCAACACCTTTCAAAAAAGTAGGGACAACTTACCACTGTGTCGTATCACCTCTTCTTTTAACAACAGTCTTTCAGCATTTGGGAACTGAGGAGACTAATTGCTGTAGTTGTGAAAGTAAAATGTTTTCACATTCTTGCTTGATGTAGGATTTTAGCTGCTCAACAGCTCGGGGTCTCATTTTTCATTTGTCTTATTTTTCATTTCATAATGTGCCAAATGTTTTCAGCAGGTGACAGGTCTGGGCTGCAGGCAGGCCAGTTTAGCACCTGGACTTATTTGCTATAGAGTCATGCTGTTGTAATACTAAAATAAGCAAGGCCTTCCCTGAAAAAGATGTCATGTGGATGGCAGCATATGTTGCTCCAAAACCTGTTTATATCATTCAGCATTAATGGTGCCTTCACAGATGTGCACATCACCCATGCCTAATGCATACCCATACCATCATGGATGCTGGCTTTACGCTGATAACAAGCCAGATGGTCCCTTTCCCTTTAGCCTGGAGGAAGTGGCATCCTCCATGTGATTTCCAGAAAGAATTTTAAATTTTGGTTCATTGAACAACAGGACACCTTTCCATGTCACCTCAGTCCATCTTCAATGAGCTCAGGCCCAGAGAAGGCAGTGGTGTTTTTACACCCTATTTATATATGGTTTCTTCTTTGCATGGAAGTTTTAACTTGCATTTGTGGATGCAGCGACGAACTGTGTCCACAGACAGTGCTTTTCTGAAGTGTTCCTGAGCTCATGCAGTGATTATTATGACTATTTTTAATGCAGTGCCGCCTGACAGCCTGAAGATCACAGCCAGTCAATATTGATTTTCGGCCTTGTCCTTTGCATATAGAGATTTCTCCAGATTCTCTGAATCTTTTAATGATATTACGTACTGTAGATGATGAAAACCCTAAGTTCTGCTATTTTACGTTGAGTAACACTGTCCTTGAACTGCTGCAGTATTTGCATATGCAGTCTTTCACAGAGCGGTGAACCTCTCCCCATCTTTACATCTAAAAGACTCAGCCCCCCGGGATGCTCTATTTATACCCAATCACGCTGCTGACCTGTTGCCAATTAACGTAATTATTTGTGAGAAGTTCCACCAGGTGTTCTTTTTTTTCAAATTACACAACTTTAATCCAGACTTTTGTTGATACTGTCCCAACTTTTTTGAAATGTGTTGTTGGCATCAAATTCAAAATGGGCATTTATTTAAAAAAAAAAAGAATTCTCAGTTTCAACATTTGATATGTTGTCTTTGTACTATTTTCAATTAAATATAGGGTTTAAATAATGTGAACACCATTACATTTTGCTTATATTCACATTACTTTTCTATATAAAAAATATTTTTAAATAAAACTGAATCGTAAAGGGCCCATATCATGGAAAACCAAAATTCCCTCACTTTTTTGCAAAAAAAATATGATGTAGTATGTAAACATAGGTAAAGTTTCAAAACATACCATTCCTTCCCCAGTCCACACAGTCCATTTATGAAAACTAAGCTGCAAAACAGCCTATTTTGAATTCATTGTTCATGTGATTTTGTAACCAAATTATTTACATATAGTTGCCTTTTTAGCCTACAGCGGTTTAACTCCGCCCATTCATGCTGAAGTCATAAGGAGTGCTTTAGCTTGCTTTTAGAATGAGCCACAACACAGGACAGCCAATCAGAACAGAAATCATTTACATATATCAGTCTTAAAAGCACAGTAACAGAAAACATCCTGTTTAATTCTAATTATGTGTTTTTAATACATAAAATCTCACAAATGCTATAAATGTCATATTGTCAAATGTCAAAAATAAAATGCAAGACAAATGCTTTTAACTTCATGACTGAGAGTCATAGCGAACCTGAAAAGATGTGTAGACCTTCTTTACAGCACTTAAATGATCACATCAGCTTAATCCAGGGAACAACAGACAACAAACTGGCCCAAAGAGACCAGACAAACATGCGGAAACATGCAGGGTGTAGTTTAGTGAGGCACGTGGCAGATAATACCGAATAATAAAAAAGACGATTCAGCAGGGCGGACTCTGACTGTCTGCTGGAAGAGACAGACAAACGCTCCTACGACGAGCTATAAACTATTTAGAAGGTCAAAAAGTGCTACATGCAAATGAATGAACCCCAGGAAAGAAAAAAATGAACTACATGAACCACTTTAGAGAAAAGACAACGTTGTCACGTCGCTACAGGCGAGCCGGTTACCTCAGCTGGCCGAGCGTTAACAGATGAGCTTGTTAAAAAATTGGCCTATTACCGTAATTACATCAGTCCACACGGTATACTTCCAGTACATACAGGTGACGAAAGAAAGAGGCCCATAAGGCGGTGTAAATAACAGGCTTCACCCACAGCAGCTACTCAGAGGACGCAAACTACAAGCAAAACAAAGAATTATCCAGACAGAACACACACAGGCTAACGAGTACTTAAAAGTGACAAACGGCGCACACAAACAAAACGGACTGAAAAATAATCCGTCAGTGGTGTAATCAACACTACAACACTGTGTACACGGCCTGAAAGGGAATTTCACCTATTTTTCAACATTTCTGACTAATTCAGTCCGTCACTCAGACTGGTTTGATGTGAAATGGTTCTTTGTAGAGAAATTTACACGATGTCTACAGCAAAAATGGCCAGTTTATTTAACCTAGCCTACTACACCAAACCACCAGTGAACTTGTGAGCTTCTGAGCTTTTATATGTAATGTTGATAATTGTAAAACAGTCACAAATCTGAAAAAAATACGTTTTCTTTGGGTACTATTTTGCCTATTTTACAATGTATCCCTCCGCCACGCGCACGTCTTCTAAGCCGCTTATCCTTCTGGGTTTGGTGCGCGCGCGCTGGAGCATCCCTCCGCCACGAACAGGTTAAATTAAATGGATTAAAATACATTTTAAGCCAAAACTTGATGGCATAACTGCCATAAAACAATGTGTCAGACATCAGGCAGATGTAACCATTTCATGTAATCACTTTCTGTGAGAGAGCTTTTAGAGCTGGACGTCTGGTTCCGATCACCGCCACTGTAAACAGTCCTGACTCGGTAAGTTTCTCTACTGTGGAGATTTTCACACCAACCCACTCTGAATGACTTTGATTACATCGTAACCATTTAATTATGTAGATTTTTTGAAAATCCAGTGTTCCCTTTTCAGCAGAGGACAGAAAATCTGACTTTCTGAAAGAAGTCTTGTATAAAAAGAGGAGGTAATCTCCATCTGTATAGCTCACCTGCTCTTTATACATATACCACGGCCGATTACTAATCCAATCTATGAGCGCCGCAGACAGACAGACAGAGAGGCAGACAGAGAGGCAGACAGGCAGCAGGGAGTGGCTAAAAAGAAACGGGCTTACAATCTGAACCGCTACACACAGAATGGACGCATCTGAGAGCAGCGTGTGGCTTCTGGCTCTGCTGAGTTTCTGCTCTGTCTTTGGGCGAAACGCAGCCATCACCAGAACTTTCTTCATCGCCATCCGAGAGGAGGAGTGGGATTACTCTCCCGGAGGACTCAGCCGGGTCAGCGGAAGACCTGCTGCAGAGGACGAGTGAGTTTGACCCTTTTCAGCCCGGTATAAATCTCACAACAGAAATGACTCAAAGACGGACATGCCTATTTTTAATAAAGGTCGCAGAAAATATATTACAGATAAAAGTAAATAGGTTTAAACTTTGTGCCTTTGTGATTTTGGTGAGGTTACTGAGTCATGTAACTACGAACATGTCCAGTCTGGGAGGCTGTAGGGCAGCGCTGTCCAGCTCTGCTCCTGCGGAGGGTGTCCAGTAGAGTTTCCCTGCTCAAACCCATATGACTCAACTCATTAGTTCATTAATTAATGAGTTTATGGTTGTGTGTCAGAGCGAAGAAATCACCACACTGTGCTGGACACCAGCCCCCTAGACTTGAACAGCTCTGAGATAAAGTCACATAAAATTACATCAGTCTCTGTTAAACCAACCAACAAACAATAATAAACCAAATGTCTCATCATTTAGGTTAAATTAGAAGTTTTGAGATATACACAGTTCAAAGTGGTTTTACTGTAGTTTTTTTGTAATCATTTTTAATAATAGCATTATTATTATTATTATTATTATTATTATTATAGTAGTAGTACTAGTTGTAGCAGTGTTATTATACAGTCATATGCAAAAGTTTTGGCACCTCTGGTCTAATTGCATGTTTGTTTGTTTGTTTTTTAAGTGAAAAGAAGTTAACTCATCCTAGAACACACATCTGCACAGTTTAATACGCAGTTATTGTTTATTTTTTAATTTAACATTAAAAAAATAATAAAACATAAAATGTGCCCTGTGCAAAGGTTATAGCACATTTTATATTTCATGTTTATTTTTTTTCCAATGTGTTAAACTCCCCTGTAGAGGATTTTCTAGCTTTTTAAAATTCAGCCCAGTGTGTCTCCATAGGTCATATAGTTTAATGTATGGCACAGTGTTTTGCAAAAGTAAATCAAAAGTGTCATCACTTTCTTTTAATGATGAAAATATATAAAATGAGTGTCACTTTTTCCATGCATAAGTGCTTTGCCTTTCATTCATTCATTCATTTACTAATTAATTCATTCAATGAATGTCATTCAAGTCCCGCTGTTATAGCTGGGGTTGAGTTTTGGGACAAAACTATAAAACTATAAAACTATATTGGCTAAATGTCTAGTGTAGACAGGCACTACTTCCTGAATACTTGAAGTACATTCAGTACTATGCAGAAACTCACATGAAAGCTTGAAACCTGTCTATAAAAGAAAACCATTCAGAATGGACATGCAGACTGGACTGGGCAGCAAAATGAGCAGAAAAAGTGAAGCCAAAAATAAAGCAAACAACAACTGAAACCAGCTGCAGAAGGCTTGGCAAAGCATGTCAAAGAAAGATAGCCAAAGCAAGTGCGCCAATATGCCATGGGCAAGTGGTGTAAACAAGTTCTTTTAATGCTACTTTTAGGACCAATCCCATTTCCTATTTTTACCCCTACCCCTTGATTTTGGCTGTCACCTTGCCCCTTGGGGGCATTAGTTAACTGGGCTTTAGTTAATTTAGGGCATCATCATAAGAGGGGGGATGGGATAATTATTTATTATCGCCTATTGTCGACATTATTGTCGCCTCAGGTGTCGACACTGCTGGATTATTTAAGGTGGAATGTGAAATTTAGCTAGCTGGCTTCCGAAACATTGGCATACTATTAGCGATGTCTTATGCTTGTTATGAAGAAAAAGACCATAATACATTGAAACGACATTAAAGTTAAAATTATAAAAAGGTAATACGATGGCTATCGTAATTTTTTAATCGAGAAAATAATCACATTTCTGGGGTTTTTAGGCCACTTTCACAGCCATCTTGCCGGTGTTTCTTTTTTTTTTTCTCATAACGCTCTGTTTGGAGTGTGTCTCTAAAAAACCTCCATTTGGAGGGTCATATAGCATTAACATTTCGCCCTACTCCTCTATCTCAACAAAAATTGGGACACCCTACCCCTAGATGTGAATGGGCAAAACAGAGGGCTAAGGGCTAAGTGGTAGGGGCAAGGGGTGAAATGGGATTGGGCCTATGTCTTTTGCCTCACTTGAAATCAGCGAAGGGTTGAATACAAAAAAGGTGAAATTCTGACTCCTCTTATTTGCTTCATCATTAACAGCTAGACAACACAGCAAAAATGGCCCAGTCTCAGTTCTTATGGATTCAGATGTTCCCCTGCTCATCTGTGTTGTCATCATTGCCCAAGAGTTACTGTGAAGCTATCAGTTTAGTATAATAAATAAATAAATAAATACATTTTCCTGACAAACTTGCTAAATTTTAGTATTTGAGTGGCCAGTCTGGGAACAAACAGCATCTGTTTGTTCCCAAATCTAGACTTCTGATTGGCTGTCTAAATTACCTGCACATTAATGTGAGCACTTCTTGATTAGTCTGTATTTCTGTTTCATTTCTGGTTTATGCCACACCCACTGCTTGTTTATTATTTAAAAGAAGGGCCAGAAAAAAGGTATCGTCTAGGAATCGTATGGAAATCAATGTTTCTGTATGGCATAAAATTTGAACAGTACCCAACCCTAATATTAATGAGTCTCTATTGATTTTAGAAGTGCTGTGACTTTAATATTTTTAGCCCAGGATGTAAATATATAGAAAGGAGGCAAACAGAAGCAATAAATCGTACAAATATTTTCAATTATTTATTTATTTTTTTAAAACAAAGCATCAGTATCTTCTACATGTGTCTTTTTTTAGTCTAGCCATAAATTATGTTTTTGACTGTCTTGTCATCTGTTGAGCATTAAAATTCTCTCGGCTGTTTCCAATGGATAAGACTGAAGTCTCTTTAGAATGTGTTTTTACAGCAGTCAAATTGTGAGTTTGCAAAGAAAACTTCTGATCTAAACAGATTTCTGACATTGTCTATAAAGTAAGGCTCATAATTTTTAAACTACTTAGAGTAAAACAATCTGGTCTAGTTAAGTTAATGTAGAATCAGTTCTTTTAATTCCTTAATAAAGTACAAGTCTGTCAGAACTGAGACCTGATCTTAGACCAGTGCTATTACTTTAGGACAATTGATATCATTCAATATCTCAAAATGCGAATGACATATTTCTCGTGGCCCATTCATCATGAAAATTCAAATGCTGAAGAAATGGAGTAAGATGGAGAGTTATAGAACAATATATTTTTTATAGAAATGTATAAGAATAGTACTAATTGTTTCTTTAAGCAGCACTAAATGTAGTTTGAACTGTTAGGCTTGTAACAAAGCCCAAATAGGCTTAAAGAAAGCTATAGGAAACAGAAGGGGGAGCTTTCTCATCTATAAAATGGCAAAGATGAAATGCCATGCTTGAGTTTTATACCTTTTATTACCATTTACAGAAGTACATATTTCAATATAACAACCCAAAATTAATATTTACATTTTCAGAATTGTTTCTATAAGGATTAATAAATAAATAAATCTTATTTATTCAGTAGATTCTAATAATTATAATGAGCTGTCTCTTTATGGCAATTGTCAGGCAAAATAGTTACAGTTTAACAGTGAAAGAACAGTATTAGTAGGAAAGCCTTCTGTGACTAAATGTTAGAAGACTACAGCCAGACGGCACAAACCAGCTCACCTCTGTTACATACTGCTATATGAATGGACTCAGAATCTGATTTAGTGCATCTTTACATCTGATAATTGCAGAGATAATTTAACAGATAACAGAAAATGTTACTTTGGCCAAGATGCATTTTTTGGAGTTTTACTTCGGTGCATAGCACATGAAAACCTAACAGTATGAAGCAAACATTAGCCTGCCAGTTGCATTTTCTTATCCAAACTGGGTGGCACGTGGGTTTTGCCGGGTGGGCCACTGGTTATATTTTATGGTAGGGGAAATGCTGTAGTATGCTGTGGACTATGCAAATTCATAGCAAAGTAGTGTAGCATGTTTCAGCATTTAGAAATAAATATGCGCAAATTAGGCATAATATGTTAACTAGGCACATATATTATGTATTAGTTAGACATAAAGAAAGATGTATATTCAAAGGAGGATTCCACCAAATTTGAAAAATTTACACATAATTGAATGGTTTATTTAGAGTGGTTCGATGTGAAATGGCCATTGTAGAGAAACTTAGTGGCTCAGATTTCTTGAAAATGGAGTGACAAGGTTTTAACATGACAGTGCAGTGATGTGTAACATCATATTTTATTTAGATAAATTTGCTGTGGTGTAATAAAAAGTATATATTATAAAAGTAATTCCATCCAGCTCACTGTCTAAAAATGTGAGAAATAAATGATCCCTTTTTTCACTTTCCCTCTTGTTTCTCATGTTATAGGCATGCTTCTGTCTTCCTGCTACAAGGCCCACATCGGATTGGCCATGTGTATAAGAAAGCCATGTTCAGGCAGTACGCAGACGGGTCTTACACAAAGGAGATCCCCAAACCTGCCTGGCTGGGCTACCTGGGACCTGTGCTTAGAGCTGAAGTTGGGGATGTCATAGAGATCCACCTGAAGAACTACGCCTCCAGGAGCTATTCCATGCACCCACACGGAGTCTTCTATGAGAAAAACTCAGAGGGTAAAACATCCACAGACATAATCCTCTCTGCTCAGAAGGCTCTAATGACATGGTGTGGTTTGGCAAAAGAGTATGTGACCTATTATAAAGCAAGAGGAAGGCCCTTAAACCCAAATAACAGTTTATCTAAGAACAGTGAGTGAAGTAATACGTTTATTCAGTAAATTCTGACTCTCCTTTGTCTAAGATAAGCATGATGAGCTGTATCTTTGGTGTGATTGTCAAGGATAAGTAGTTAGGGTTTAGCAGTAAAGGGCTATTTTTCATTGTTAGTCACATTACATGTCCAAAGGTTTGTAGACACTAGCTCATCTGGTGTTTCTTCTTAAGTCGAGGGTATTAAAAGAGAATTTGTCCCTCTTTGCAGCTTCTACTCTTATGCAAAGGATTTGCACTAGATGTTGGAACATTGCAGTGAGGATTTGATTGCTTTCAGCCACAACAGCATTGGTGACGTCAGGCTCTAATGTTGGATGATTAGTTCTGGATCACAAACGCTACTATTACTCATCCCAGAGGTATTAGATGGAGCTACATCAGTCCAGAGAACAGAGTTTCACTGCTCCACAGCCCAGCACTGGGGGGTTTATACCCCCTAGCTGTCATTTGGCATTGGGCATGGTGACCGTATGTTTTGTGTTGTCTCAAGAGATAACAGGCAGTAATATGTTTATTACTATTGAACAAAAGATTGAATTAAAAATGTTCTTCTCTATAGGGGTGCCTAACCTCGCTCCTGGCGATTCTCCTGCAGACTTTTATTACAGCTCTAATCATGTCCACCTGATTCATGCTTTGAGATGCTCCTGTAGACTTGATTAACCCCTGGAATTCCCAGGCTTATCATACCCAAGGGCTTATTATTCAGTTATAATGCCAAAAAATATGTAAACTGGTTGAGTTATTAAAGTTCTAACAGTGACGTGTGTAAGTCTAAGCTCCCTGGCCATTCAAGGAGTTGAATCAGATGTGGAAATATTAGGTGTTTGTAAGTAAATAAAACTGCTCTTGTAAAGGACTGTTATCAACAAAGTCTACAAAGGTGCTTTAAATGTAAATGCTTTTGCAAGCCAATATTCAATTTTTTTCCAAGTAAACTGTAAAAGTGCTGAATCATTTTACAACTTAAGAGAAAATCACTGCATTCTAATGCTATTTTGGTCTTTAGAATAGATACTATCTAAAAACTTTATGAAAGAAGTTTCATGAATTACGTTTAGGGCATGATGACTGGTTGCCCACCTGATTCTCCAGAAACTTGATTCCCTAGATTGTTTTCACTCGGAAAGGATCAAGACCAGACGGGAAATTGGCCAGCCATTCTCTTTTACCTTTTATCCCTTTTTTGTCAATAGTCTTGCCCGGTACTGGTCTGACACTTAATATGGAGGAAGTTTTCTTACCGTAAGTAGGGGTGCTGTTAATGCCATTGTTAGTGCTTTTGGCAGAGGGGCACAGCAGTGATGCTAGACTGATAAAGAGGCGACATTGGCTGGGAGTGGTAAAGAGGCGACATCTCCTTCGCATTTCATCTCAATTCAGTAAAACTGCTTAGTCAGGGTTGAGTAAAGGGGCATTGATTAGTATAACATTTATCCACTAAATCGTAAAATTGATTAGCATTTTATTATGTGAGGGTCGTTTCCCTAAGGCTATTGTTTGTGAGGTGACCTTAAGAGGCAAAGGATGCCGTGAATGTGTGACTAGTTCCTTTGTGTGTTTATTCAAGGAAGGAGGAAGATCTTTAGCACCTAAAACCACAGGAAAACCCCTCAAACAACCATTAGCGCACATGCTTTAAAAGAAATGCAGCATTATTAAAATAATTAGTGGTGTTAGACTGAAGTATCAGAGGCAGGCAGGTATGGACTGGCACAATAGTAATCCGCACTGGGCACAAATGAAAGAAACCCAGTAAGTGGAAAGTGGATCATATTTGTACAAGTGGATGGTGAAGCTAAATAATAAACAGTTGCAGTGCTTTATCAGGTTAGTAACTGCACATTTAACTGCGGGGATGTGTTTAAATAGCCTATTTCTGTTTACACTTACTGACAGCTTGTGAAGAATAGTTAAAGATTCATTATTACATTGACAAACAGGTTATATAAACAATCATATAAGAGTAGATTTGTTTGATCTTGCCCTGTGTGTTTTAAACAATAGGCTTATGAAATGTGCTTATGAAAATACAAAAGTTTGGCCACCTCTGGTCAAATGGCATGTTTTGTTGATAGTGAAAGTAAGTAAACACATCCTCTAAATAAAACACAAATTGTGGCCTGCGCCAAAGGTATATTTAATGTTTGTTTGTTTCTGCACTAAGATTAAGTTTGTTTCCTGTTTTTTCACATAGAAAATGAACAATACATGTAATTTGGGAGGGGGGAGGGTGTTCAAACTTTTGCATACGACTGTATGTAGTATTAAATGTTCAAATCTTATTTAATAATTTAAGGGAAGTTTTTTTTCTTTAACTTACTGTGAATGTGGTTTCCTTCTTATAAGCTGACTTGGATATACGCCCCCTGAATAGGGATCCTAGCCAGTGGGTGGGAATTAGCAGTCACCACGATGGGGGGAGGAAGAGAGAGAATGAGTAAAAATAGCCTATATGATTACTTCTTTTTACTGCCTATATGATTACCTATACATGCCTAGATGATTATTTAAGCACAGTTTTTGAAGTAAAGCATAGACTTGCAATACATTATGAATGTTATAGACAGACGTCATACAATTTTGTTTACTGGAACAGCTGCCTCCCCTTCTCATTTTACATGTACCTACACCTCACCTGACTGTAACACTAAGTCGTTTAATCAGCTGAAATCCGAAAACTTGAGACTCAAGTAGTAGCCTCATGTCAGAGCCCCTCTGCATGAATGTCTGAATTTCCCCTTCTGGGTTTCCCCTTCTGTGGTGTGAATTGTTTACTTACACCTGTCTAAAGCATCTCAACTTAAACATTCACACCAGGGCTGTTTGCATTAGAGTATATTAATAGTACAGAGAAAATTCTGAAAACTGTTTGGTAAATTAACACAAAGGTTTTAGCTTGTATATCAGCTTCTTATTTATCTACACTCATTAGAATATAGGTTGAAGAGCTCTTCACCCTGATTAATGCCTTTGTTATTTGTTGGTCACACTCTCAGACCTGACCACATCTATGTGTGCCATACATGTCTGATCAAATGTTTTGTGTTTTAGGGGCACTGTATCCAGATGGAACCTCTGGAGCACTGAAGCAGGATGATGGTGTTCCACCCGGTGGTACACACACCTACACGTGGACGGTGAAGCCAGAATATGCCCCCACTGAGGGGGATTCCAACTGCTTGACTTGGGCTTACCACTCACACGTAGTTGCCTCCAGGGACATCTCCTCTGGACTCATAGGAGCCCTGCTGACTTGCAAGAAAGGTGTGAAAGTTCAGCATCAATGCAAACTAATGTCAGTAATTTAGTAATGTGAACTCTTAAAAATAAAGGAGCCTGAAGGGTTCTCTGGAGCAGTGCTGTAAAAGAAACACTTGACATTGTGCTTTGAGTTGAATTTGAGCATCTAAATTATTGTGCATGGTTATGCCATCCAATATGGCTGCTTACAGGTTAGAAATGTTGCTTGAAAGATTCTTTAAGGAACCAAAAGTGGTTCTGCAGTTGCATTGCTCCAAAAACCCTTTTTTGGCAACTAAGAGTTGCCTTAGTGATCTATACTAGTAGATCCATAAAACACACTTGCAAATGTTACTCTTGAGTGTCAAATCACACTTAATCTGACCGTTGCATTGGTTTCATTGGTCTCTGGCTTTTATGCTCTTCATTAACTAAAACATGCACCCACTTGGCCTGGTTTTCCATGATCTTCATTTATACTTAGGAACCCTGAAGCTTGTTTCTGGAGTAGGTGGTAACTACTCTCAGGTGCGAAGGACGGATGTGGATCAGGACTTCCTCCTTATGTTTAGTGTGGTGGATGAGAACCTGAGCTGGTACCTAGAGGAGAACATCCAGACCTTCTGTTCTGATCCTGCTGGCGTGGACCCTGATGATCCAGACTTTCAGCACTCTAACAAGATGAATGGTAAGTGTTTACCTCAAGTGTTGAAGTATCTGGAGCAGTGGTTCTAAATACCTTCAACAGAAACTGCAATCAATATTATAAGAAAATTGAGGAAGATCTTGTTATTAGTAAGAATAATACAAACACATTTATGTTAATCAATGATGAATACATGTTGAAAAAGGCATTACAGCTAAAGTTACTGTAGCCTCAATGTAAGTTTTAATCTTTGGAACAGTGGCTCTCATCTTAGATTACCCACCTCAGATGGGGTCTGGTCAGAACACGTTCTATCATTGAATGCATTAGACTGACTGCTAGTTTATTAGGCATACCTGGACATGGTGGTGGCTTTTTAAGCATTATTAAGCCTGCCTTTAGGGTACACTTAGCTAGTATACTGTTTAAAACTGTAGATCATCTTTGTCCATACTTAATTTTTATTAGTCATCCCAGGCACAGTGGCAGAACTAAAGTAAGAGTTGGGTATTTCCCAGGGTTGGGGGCTAATTTATCTCCCCACAACATCCTTAAAATGCAGCCAATACAAAGTGATGCATGCAAACCCTCAATATGAATTGATGTAGCCTTTTACACCATTTTATATTTCTATATATTTTACTTTCATTCTTTATGCCTCTTGCCACTATAGAAGCATATAAAAACTACATACTGGGTTAAGTGTAGAGATCTGTCTAAATTTGATATTCGATGATCTGTAAGAGGTAATTAACATATATCTGGTTAACTGCAGGGAAGGAAAAATCAAGGAGGTTAAAATTTGAAACGTTTTATTATTCAGAAATAGCTGAGGGAAATTGGTACCACGCTGAAGGCTGATCCATCGTGTTCTACACAAGCTCTTTTGTCCTCAGTGGACAATGTGCCGTGCTGTTATGCTATCTGCCTTCTCAGTTACATCCTTAAAAACATGTCCTTGGTAGCCGGTTCACATTAAAGTTTCATAGTGTTTCATAGTAGCAAAGTATAATTTTTATAATTTTAGTTTAGTGGGCCATGATGATTGGCTGGTGACCCTTTGGTTGGTGACCCTTTGATGCCAGGCCTAAGTCATCCACTAGCCCTTCATCTATGGTCAGATTCTGACCACAGCTCCACTGGTGGAGTGATTTTTGTTTGGCTCTCTTTCATCAACCCGGCAGTGACACTGAGGTGTGTCAAGCTTACAGCAACACTGCAGAGCCTGATACACTCATACCAGCTTAATACACATGCCACTGTTGTGCCACTGCAGTGCTGAAAATGGTCCACCACCGAAAATAATGTTCAATCAACAGTTATCGTGTGGTGCTTTTTTCTAATGATGGTCAGGGTAGAGAATGGCTTATATTCTGCAGCAACAGTCAGTAACTGTAAACCTACAGTGTGCACCATCAGATATTCTGATAAAGTGTATGTACCTAATAAATTGGCACCACAGTGTATGACTGTAATATCTTTTTTCATTTTGTCATGTAGCTATTAACGGCTATGTATATGGGAACCTACCTGGAATTGAGTTGTGCCAGAACCGAACAGTGTCTTGGCATCTCCTCGGAATGGGCAATGAGGTAGATGTCCACTCAGCATATTTCCATGGACACACGCTACTCATGAGAGGTCACAGAGTTGACGCTGTCAGCCTGTTTCCTGCCACCTTCCTCACTGCAGAGATGACCCCTGTGGAAACAGGAACATGGCTGCTCAACTGTCAGGTCAACAGTCACATACAAGGTAGACCTCGAGGAAGCGTCTTATTTGATTGCTTGGTTTATACTCATGCTCTTATCGGCATATCGTGTTATATTCAACTGTATGAGATGGTTAGGAAACACAGTGCCATCAACATTTCAATAAAATCTTAGCAATTTATTCAAAAATGTGATCAAAAAGGAGGAATAGCATACATTTCTGTCTAGTAGTGTCTTGGATTTGATATTGTATGAAGTAATGATGATGGTGTGCAGATGGTATGCAGGCGCTGTTTCGTGTTTCACCCTGTGGACTGCAGGATGACTCCAAGGCTCCTCTGAATGGGACAGTCAGGGAGTATTTCATTGCTGCCGAGTTGGTTCAGTGGAACTATGCCCCATCAGGAATGGACACACTGACCAATGTTTCGCTGACTGAAAGCCAAAGGTATGGAGCTGCATTTATCGTCACTGAGACTTTACTGTTTTGTTTGTGTTTTTTGGCACATTTCATCATTATAGTATTTTTCGATGCTCTTCATATCAAGGAAAACCATTTGTATGGTTTGTATTAGGTAACAAATGTTAAAGTTTCAAAACGTACCATTTACACCACAGTTCATACAATCCATACATGGACAAAAAACAGGCATTTTGAATTTAGTGTTTTTGTGATGTAACAAAATCAATACATTTGCATGTATTCATTCTACAGCAGGTTAACCCTGTCCATTTACGTTCTAAAGATTGTTTTGGACTGGACTGCTGTCTGAATGCGGCACAATGCAGGGCAGCCAATCAGAACAGAAGTCATTTAAAGGCACAGTAACAAAAACAAGGAAAAAGAGAAGAAAATAATTATCAATTATTAATGATAAGTTTTGGCATATAAACCAAAAGCAGACCTCAGGAAAGAAAAAAAGTACAGAAAATGAAGGACACAGTGTCATTGATGCGAAGCACCACTCATATGAAACATCAGAAGCTATATGACATTTGTCTGTCCTCTGAAGAAATTTTATTTTTACATAATCTTTTTCTAATTTTTCTTTGCCCATTAAAATTAAGACAGATATATGGTAATGGTCTTTGTTCTGATTGGCTGCCCTGTATTGTGCCTCATTCAAAAAGCAGTCAGGGCTGAAACACTTCTTATAACTTCATCGTGAATGGGTGGGGCTAAACTGCTGTAGGCTGAAGAGACAGATATATGTAAATTTGTTTGTTTCTGTGACATCATAGAAACAGTGAGTTTCTAAAACTGCCATTTTTTGAGCTCAGTTTCCATATATCGATTGTTTGAAGTGGGGAGTGAATGGTATCTTTTGAAACTCTAACAATGTTTACATGCTACATCAAACTATATATTTAATACAGTGAGAAAAAGTCAGTTTTCCATGATTAAGGGAAGCACACTACTGTAATCCTCAGCCCCTCAGAAGGGTTTTTCGGGACACATGGTGGCCGTCTTGGTGGGAAGTATATGAAGGCGGTATTCAGAGCTTACACTGATCACACATTTACCAGCATGAAGGAGCAAACCAGCACGGAGACCCACCTCGGAATTCTTGGTAAACTCCTTACTTAATGTTTCTTTGATTGTTTGTCCAGTACAAAAATGTGACCTTTACATTCAGCTGTGTAGAAAGGCACTTATCATCAGTGACTTACAACATGTTAGTTATATGACAACATGTTAGTAATATGAGAAATGCATATGAATGAAAAACTTACTGTTACAAACAATATTCTGTGAAAAGTCACCAGATCTTCAGGAGCAGAAAACTCGCTCCTCTGGGATATTGTTTTGTTATTGTTAATGATGTACATTCTCAAGCAAAGCATGACATGTTTTCGCCACTTCATATGTCTCCATATCCTGTAGATCTGTCTCCATGTGCTATTCACAAAACATACAGACAAAATATTTGTACTAGATACATCCTGTTTATAAACAAAATCAGCACCACTTTCCTTTTTGGTTCTGTCCACCCGTAGGTCCTGTACTGCGCGCTGAGGTTGGGGACATTTTGCTGGTCACGTTTCTAAACAATGCTGACAGGAATTACAGTATGCAGCCTCATGGCCTCCAGTATATGAAGGAATTTGAGGGAGCTGAGTATGCGGATGGTGAGAGAGCAATGAAACACGAGCTTCTGCTTGCACTTTCAAGTTACATTTCTGTACAGTAGTTAGATACAGTAGTGAGTTTGCTTATATAACAGTAAAGAAGCCAAGCTAATTGAATAGTAGGAGCCTGGTCTTATAGGCTGATATGAGTGTAAAGTTAAAATAACACTCCAGCATTTCAGGCACAGCAGACAATACTTTTGACACATTCTCCTGTACTTAGAGAAGAATAGTGGCTCAAAACACACTTATGAAAAGAAGTAAAACATGAATTTTTCAGTCAGATGTGCTTGAACGATTGGCTAAATGATTAATCATTTTAATATCAAAATCACAAGAGCTGTAATTTTAATTACAATCTATCAGCAACATTGTCTTAATACATTTTAAGGGAGGAAGTTTTACATAATATCATCGACTGTGTGAACCACCTGTCGATGATATGGACCAATCAGAAGCAAACAAACACCTGTGTCCTGTGACATCACAAGCACAGTTAACTGGCAGTCTGGCATACTATGTTCAGTTTAGGCCTCAATACAGAAAAAAATATATTGCTGCTGTCAGAACAAAACCTCATATCTCCATTTTTTCAGTTTTTGACATAATTTGAAAATGTCTGTTGTCGTTTACATTGTGTGTGTTTCATGATGAATGGACCAAAAGCAATGGCCCAAAATGATTGGACAAAAAGTCAGTCTGGTTCCATGGACTTACATTAAAAGTAAAGGATGTTTTTTCCTTCTTCTGTAAAGTCATCATTTTGGAGATACAAGGTTTTGTTCCGACAGCAGCGAGCTGGTGTTCTTGGCCAAAATAATAGGCTTAGACCTTTAATTAACAGAAAATAATCACAATTTAATCAGATTCCCAATATTGGTCAGAAAAATTGCAATTAGATATTTCCAAATTGTTCATCCCCTAGATGTATTTGTAAATTAAACTATAGATTGTTATTTCAGTAATGCAATGGGACTACGTTTCCAGATGGAAGAATATGTGGTAATATGTTGGCAGTGTAGCAGTATGGGTGGAGTTTTCACAGGCTCCTGCCTGATTACGCATAGATACCACAAAACCTTAGGGAAATCTAAAGTAACTTACACAGCTTTTTATTACATTGCTCCTCTGTCCAAAAATTGGATAAACTTCATACAAACAACTTTGGCAAGACATATCATGTTTGTCTCATCCTTAAACCTGAATTGTAACAGTAGTTTTGAATCTGCGATAATATGGTCATATATTTCAAATGTTTACTGACAGAATTCAGAAACTGACCAATGGTTTCTATTGTAAGAAAGTTTTGAATTTAAGAATGATCTGTTTAGGGAAACAAAATTTGTTGTACATGATAATCAATGATACAGTTACAGACGCAGTACGGATAGAGATGAAGTTGAAAGACGCCAGGCTATTCCTTTTAAAAACCTGTGTGAACTGACCATGGTCTTGGCTATTGATTATAGTTATTTGTTCAGTCAGTGCAGGTGTACCTTTTACTTTTAGCTGCTTCTAGTTTTGGTTGAAGAAGTCTCCCATTCCTCTTTTTAAATATCATCAAGGCACAGTGAAGAATGGATCTCACGTGCAGCCGGGAGACTCCTTCACCTACAGGTGGCAGGTGAGGGAGGGGCCATCTGAGAGCGACCCGCCCTGTATCTCCTACCTGTACTATTCCTCCAGTGACCCCATCAGAGACACAAACTCTGGCCTCATCGGCCCCCTGTTGGTGTGTAAGCGAGGTGCACTGAGCTCCAACATGACCCAGGTATGACTGGATGACACTGGATTACCCTCTTCAAGGGTTCTTTAGAAAAGGCAGTGGTTATATGTCATTGAGTGTAGTGTCTATTATGTCATGCTGTCATGTACATCGATTTTAATCCAGGCTATGGGAATTTGGGGAAATTGCACAGATACTTATCCCCGACAAATGTTCCAATTAAATCACTTACAGATTGCATTACACCTCCACTGGTGAAACTAGTGCAGCTTGACTAGTACTTATAACACATTAGGATAAAAACAAAAAAACTTAAAAGATATTAGGTAATCAAAAACTTGCTCGTATTGTGCTTTCCTGTACAACCTGTGCATAAGAACACAAGAGGATTCACTGATCTATGTGCATGTGTGTAAGAATAACTGGTTTAAACAAGGGGTGCACCCATCATGAATTTGTTTGGCTAATTCCAATTTCTTTACAGCCAAATTGGACAAAAGCCGATTTTCATCAATATTTTAATCGGCTTTTTGTAAACCATCCAGGAACTTAGACTATGAGGGCTAAATGAACAGATTAAACATACTAGCGCATTTTCAGTACTTTCTATTAGCCAGAGTCACAGTATAAATAACATGTTTTGCTCTTTAACCAACCAAATCAAATAAATTGCTTAAAAATTAAGAGGCAAGCATGATGAGTCTTTATTATTATGAGGCATTATTACATTACATTATAGTACAGATGTAGCAGCAGGATCACATTATTAGGGTCACAAAATTGCAACACAGATTGGCCAAAGTAAATAATCAATTAGCCAATTGCACGTTTGGAGCAAAAACATGATGATTTCGATCTTAGCCGATTCCATTTGTGCATCCCCAGTGTAAATATATCTGTGCAGGGTTTTTTGTTGATAATCAATACATAGCGTGTTTTGGTTTACTTCATGATGTATGATTCTCATGAGTATCAGGTATGAATCTCAAAGATTTTCTTGATGCGTCTTTCATTCTTCGCTCATATCCTAAGAGAGATGTGGACCATGAGTTCTTCTTGCTGTTCTCTGTTCTGGACGAAAACCTGAGCTGGTATCTGGAGGAGAACATTCAAACATACGGGACGAATGAGTCTGACCCGCAGGATGAAGCCTTTGTGGAGAGCAATAAGATGCATGGTAGGCTTGCTCACTAATTCTCTGCCATCCCACCATCATTCAGTCATTCAGTACCAAATTTCAACAGTTAAGTAGTCAAACTTAACAGTATCCAATGTATGCACATTATTACCATCAGCGCTTCTGGAATAATCTGCAGTCTGTTCAGTAAATATACCCACTTTCAGCTCCTCACACTCATTTCTGGTATAAGCCACACGCTTTTTATTTAAAAGAAGGTATAAATGCATATCATTCAGCACTTGATATCAAAGTCAAAGTATTGGTATTGATATTAAAACAATTTTAATGATACTCAGCAAATATTTGCCAGCGTTTCATCGTTTTTAGTCTTTTTAAAGGGGCTGTCAACTTATTCTCCTGAATCATTTTTTGCAGTTAGCTATAGGATCCTGCAATGTACTTGACTGATGCTTAAAGAAAAATATGCTTGAGAGATTGCACTTTAAAGTTTGCAGTCGGATTTGAGTTGGACAGGACTGTATTGGAAGAATGTCATGTTTTTGCTCACAGTTCAGAATTAATGTGGATTTCTTGTCTACCCCAAGTTTTCAGCTACCCATTGCCCCAGCCTGCACAGTACAAACCATGTTGAGCCTAAGCAACTACCAGTGAGCACGCTAAATAGTTAGCATATGAGTGTTTCTAGACTACACCACGTCCAATTTGATTTAACTACCTCTTCACTTTATTTTTCATTGTGTCATTTTTTTGTAAAGTCTCTGGAGCACGACTTTGCTTAAGAGGTTTTATCTGACAGCCACCTAATCACAGTAGCAAAAGCTAGTGTTTGCATTATGAGTATGACCACATTTCCACATATATTAGCCACAAACAATGGCCACACCAGGTCATTCCCGGTTTAACATAACTTGACCTCTGTAATGGGATGTCTCACACTAAATCAAAGCCCGACTTCCTGACAGAAGCAGACAGCTGCTATTGTGGGAATTTTTTTAAGTTGTTGTGTGTGCTTTCCCTCAGAAACACCCACGCAGTCCTGGTCAGAAAGGTTAAGGATATGTCCTGTTTGTACACTACCAAAAGTTTAGACACACCCGAATGAAAGTATGTTTTTTATAATCTTAAAGATGTTTTCTTCTACAAGTTCATTACCTAAACAAATATAAATACAAGATCTCTGCACACAGTACTGTGCAAAAGAGACCACCTTTTATATATTTATGTTCCCGTTTAAACAGCCATAGAGGCAACCGTGAAAGACCTAGTAGGCGACCAACACTGTCACCATCAGATAAACAGCACATAAAGCTTTAATTTTTAAAGAGGAGAAAATCAAACTCCTCCTTCAGATCTGAAAAAATCCACATTTCCATCCTTCCACTGTGAGAAGACAGCTCAACGCTATGGGTCCAAAATGATGTGTAGCTGTCAAGAAGCCATTACTGAGAAAAGGGAAAAAATAAAGAAAAATTGCAAATCAAACAAAGAAGCTGATGGTGTTCTCCTGACAATGTACTGACCACCCCATAGGCCAGACCTCAACATCACTGAATGTGATTGGGATCACTTGGATTGTGAGAAGCAGAAAATGCAACCAACTTCTAAGACTGAACTTGGAGGTGTGGAAAAATAATATTCTTACAGATTTCTTTGAAAAGCCTAAAGTCTTCTGTAAAGAATGGAAGCTGTAAAACATGGGACACTACATGCTAAAAAAAAAGTGATCATATTTAGCTGTTAAGCTTTCAGTGTCATTTTCTGTTAAATATATATTTTTTTATATTATAATATCATTTTTGTTTTGTGACGCTAGAAATGAATAACTTGTACTAAATGGCATTCTTCAAGTCTATTGGAAAATAATGAAGCTGCTTTAGGGAATAGCAAGTATGCGTAAAGCTGACATTAAGGCAAAAACAGGCTACATTTAAGCTTAAAATATCTAAAATATAGATAATTTAGTGTTCTATGGACTGCATAATTTTTTTGTATCTTTACTTTTATAGTTTAGAGTCTTCTGTTTCATTTTAAAATGCATAAAATAATAGGCTAAACATGAGGAAAACCCTTCTGTTGGTAGATGTGTCTAAATATTTGACTGGTAGTGTTACTGTATCGAAAATATCACTGAATTATTATATCTCTTTTGCAAGCTACAGCATAAAAATCATGTTCTAAGTTGAATAAATCAAAGCAAGAGTTGTATAAATGTTCTTATAGTGTGTTGTGTCTTTGGTCCATGTGTGTGTGTGTGTGTGTGTGTGTGTGTGTGTGTGTTTGTGTGTGTGTGTGGTGCAGCGGTGAATGGCTATATGTATGGGAATCTGCCACAGCTGGAGATGTGTGAGGGTGCCCGGGTCAGATGGCACCTGCTGGGACTCGGCACAGAGGTGGATGTGCACACGGTTCACTTTCAGGGCAACACTTTCCACAGAGAGGGCACCACACACGACACCCTCACCCTGTTCCCACACACCACTCTCAGTGTGTTCATGCAGCCAGATACAGCCGGTGAGTTACGCTTATGCTGCTGCTGCTGCTCACAGTGTTTGGTAGCCTCTTTCGGCAGCACCCCCAGTGGCCATTCCATTGAGATTTTTTTCATTGACCTAATCAAATAAAATATTTTTCCCCATAACTCAGAGTAGCGAGGACACTGTTGTGTCTCAGTGTGTGAAGCATACTTGACTGTATGCTTCTCTGAGTATGTTATGAATATCATCTGTACTTACATCTGTAAGAACACTGGCCAACTGCATGTTTTATTACAAAGAGAGGATCATTAGTCCTGTTTTATTGGCTGTAGCACAGTGCAATGTGTGAATTTTGATAGTATTTTTAGATTTTTACCATCACAATGCTTCAAAACATTTTCTCGATACACAATATGCATCAAGTAATCTGACACTCAGTATATCTTATGTATATTGCACTGGGGACCTGTGGGTTCGTTCGTTCTGTTGTGTCTGAATACAGGGCTGTTTGAGGTGAGCTGCAGAGTGAGTGAACATTACATGGGAGGGATGAGGCTGCAGTACAGAGTGAAGAAGTGCAGAGAGAGCCTGTCTGCTCCCATCACTGCTCCTACAGGGCACTACTTTATTGCTGCAGAGGAGGTGGAGTGGGACTACTCACCTGAGCGCACATGGGAACTGCAAAACTTCAACTCCACAGAAAACGACAGGTAAATACACATACACAAAACAAAACTGTATGTAGCCCTGACTATATAGCACTTACTTGCATCTACATAACAGAAAACCTATTTTTCCTTTTTTATGTGAGTTTGATGTATTAAGTAAACTACATACTAAAATGTAACATTCACTCCCCAGTCCATACAGTCCACATATGGAAACTGTGCTGTAAAAACAGCTTATTTTGAGCTTATTCTTTCTGTGATGTCACGAAAACCAACATTTGCCTGATCAGTCTACAACAGTATAGCCCACCTATTCCCATTGAAGTTATAAGGAGTGTTTCAGCTTGGACTGCTTTTTGAATGAAGCACAACACAGGGCAGCCAGTCAGAATAGAGCTTATTTACATGGCACTTATTTACATGGCCTTAATGGCACAGTAAGAGCCTGCTTAATTCTGGGAGGAAAATAGGTTGGAAATAGGTAAACATGAATTATGAGATGGTACATAAAATCATACAAACGCCATAAGGGAACCATAAGGGGAACGTAAAATAAAAACAAAGTATACAAAAACTGTAGGAAATGGGTCTCCTGCTTAGCAGACCAGGATCAAAATGTTTCAATTTATGTCATCATTCATTTTCATTTAAATTAATTTGTAGAATATATGAATTTTCATATTGCCAGATTTGATGTATGTTGATCATTTATGTGAACTGCTTTGTGTTGATATTATGAAAGTCTCTTTTATTTATTTATTTTTTCTTTGTTATTATTGAGTTCTCTCTTCAGTTTGTAACAGATAATCTGTTTCTCAGTCCAGGCAGTATATTCGTGGGGAAAGGTGAGAACAGACTCGGCTCCAAATATAAGAAAGTAGTTTACAGGGAGTACACCGATGCCACCTTCAGGACAAGAAAACAGCAGCAACCTGCAGAGAAACATTTGGAAATATTAGGTAGGGTCTCACTCAAAGGTTTTAATGGCATTGATTATCATAATTGAATGACCCATCTGTTTTGACCCATCTGTTAATGTAATTATATGCACGCGTGTTTTGTTAGGCCCAATCATCAGAGCAGAGGTTGGGGAGGTTCTTCAGATCACGTTTCTGAATAAGGCTAGTCGGCCATACTCTATACAGCCTCATGGAGTGAAGACGATTCCCACACATCCACAGCCTGTATTACCTGGTAAGGAATATCACTACCAGTCTCTTACAATAATTACCTGACGTCACACCCTAAACACAGTCTTCTGCTTATGCTGCATGTGGCAAGCCTAAATAGCCTAATATAAAGTCATATATATATAGATTTATTTACATTTCCCAGGTAATTAGGTACTCTTTCTATGTAGGTGCACTTTGGAGGTGTGCATAATCTTTACTGACTGCCGCTGCTGCACAATTTGTTCTTGCCAGTCTGTTGCTGCTAATACCTAATAACACCTAATAAATCGGCAATTCAGTGTATATACATCTATATATTAGGTTAGATTGCCTAATATATACAACGGGATCCTAATGTCTGAGACCACTATGGAAAATGCTTCTTTTTTGTGTTCTGTTCTAATTTAAAACGAAGTTTTTATTACATATTACATTAGCATTATACAAATTCAAGTGTATAATGTCAAAAGTATAATCTTTGAAGTTTGAACATGAATTTCAGAATTTCTTACTATTTTGTATGTCTTCCTTTTGCTTTAATGACAACATGCAATTGAGCTGCCAAGGGCTCTACACATTTGTGCAAAAGCCTCTGACGTGTAGATCAAATCCACCTGAGGACTGTCTGCACATGTGCTTCAAATAAAGGGATAAAACAAAAAAAATGGACATTTTTGTACAAAGGCCTTAATATAGTCAATGTCACAAATTTGCTTAAATTCAAATAGTAAACAAGAAACAGTGCAGCATCTAAAACATATTTCTTCTTCATTTTACTTAAAACTGTATTTTTTTTTTCAAAATTCTACAACTTTCTGTTGTTTATTTCCAGGATTTTTTAAAAATCTAGATTTTAAATGTGTTCTCAGACTTTTGGACCCCACTGTAGTTGTGTTTACACGGAGTTGCCAATTTACAATTTATTCGCAGTTTACAGTTTACAATTTATTGTCCGCCCACTGCTGACCAGGTATTATTTGGTTGGTGGACCATTCTCGGCACATCAGGGAACATAAGCGTATCAGGCACAGCAGCATTGCTGGCTTTTTTAAATACTGTGTACACATACTGGCCACTTAGAAACACCATACTGGTACAATTGTAGTTGTACAGCTTTCTTCAGTGCATAATTTGTGTTAGTCATCCTCTAGCCCTTTATTGGTGCTCAGTTTCTGACCACAGGACCATTGTTGGCTGAATATTTTCCAGTAATGACATTGAATTGTTTAAAATGCACCTCAGGGCAACTTAGTAGCTTTTCTGTAATTTAAGAAAAATATTTGCTTGCAGGAAACATGAGTAGGTACCAGTGGAGCGTTCCAGAAAGGTCTGGCCCAGGCGTCTCGGATCCAAACTGCATCTCATTCGCCTACTACTCTGCTGTGGACTTTATTAAGGTGATCTCTCATGACCAATAAGGTTTCTTGGTTTCAGATAGGGTTACTCTAAAGGACAGGACAGGAAGAGGTCATGCCATGCTTTACTATGTCAAATTTGATGCACTCTACTGCTGCCATCTTTAATCTAGCAAAGGAAAAGTATTTCAGGCACAGCAGTGTTGCTGGACTTATTAAACACTGTGTACCTTTACTGGCCATAACACCTACTATGTTGTTTGTGGATTCTACAGTGTAATAGCTTTCTTTGCCGTTGAATGGTATTTTTTGTTATAGGACACAGTCAGCGGGCTAATCGGACCACTGGTGATCTGCAGGAAAGGAACACTTAACTGGGACAGACAGAGGCTGGACATAGATCGGGAGTTTGCTCTTCTCTTCTTCATCTTTGATGAGAATAAGTCATGGTACCTGGAGGAAAACATTAAAACCTACTACAACAGCTCACTCCCTCTGCTCAGAGACGGAGACTTTGAGGAGAGCAACAAAA